TTCAGTGGAAGCGAGGGTTTTTCTCTTGTTTTTTGCCCTTTTTCCGCTTGATGCCCTCCAAAAACCAGAAAACGGGACATCCCGGGGAAAAGGCCGGAAACAAGGGGAAACAGGTTTAGCATATGATTGCCGGTGGTACTTTCCGTGTCTATTCCTCATGTTTCCTGATTCTTTCATCTTCCGCCTTCCAATTTTTCCATCAATCTATTCGTTTTTTCAGCCAATCCGTAGCGCTCCCAAATTGAACTCCCACATCCTTTCATGCAAAAAAAAGGCTTCAGAATGGTGGCTTTCTGTGGTTTCTGGTTTCAGACCCCCTGGGGGGACACCTGTTTTAGAATCTCAAAACCTGGCCAGATACCCTCTGGTTATGTCAAAATAGCTATTGAAAATGGCCATTTATAGTGGATTTTCCCATTGAAAATGGTGATTTTCCATAGTTATGTTAATTTACCAGAGGGTAATCCATATCCCTGTTTAAGAATTTCTTCAGACTCTCCCCAAATTGACCAGGTTTCATAAAAGTCACAGCCGTGTTCGCATCCAGAACCTGAAAAAGGTCGGCCACCGCCATTTTCCCATAGTTTTCCTTCGATCCCCAGGTTAGTTAAAGCTACTTTAATCTCATCTCAGTCGATTAATATACCACCTTAGAAGGGCCTTGGATAGGTGACTTGGTGAGCTTGGTTAGCAGGGCACAGCAACCAGGAAACCAGCTCATAGGAGGCATATCTTGTGGTCGTAATCATGGTTGGTTCCTTCAAATTCAAACCATATTAGCCGTAGATCCACCATGTATTTCATATTATTATATTATATACATATATATATATGTAATATCACCCAGCTACTGACCATAAATTAGACAACATACTAATATTGGCAGTCTGTAAAAACATTCATCTAAACACCATATACCTGGATATTTTTTTAACAAACACTAACCTGAAACTTGCGGCCAAAGAGGGATAATTCCCCGAATCCAATTCCCATCATGCCCATCATTGAAGGCTTCGCGAGGTCGTTATCATTCAGAATTATCCATTATATCCCCATTAATTAATACCCCATTAAAATCCCACTAATATCCCATGAATATCCCATTACCCTCTGGTAAACGTTTACATGACTATGGAAAATCACCATGTTATAGCTGGGAAATCAGCTATTTCTATGGCAATTTTCAAAAGCTATGACATAACCAGAGGGTAATATCCCATTGGTAGCCATTTTTTGATGGTTTTTCCCAGCTATAAACCTCCATAGATCCCAGAGGAAACAGACCCATTTCCGATGACCGGCCTGGCTCCCGTTACGACCAGGGCAAGTGCCTGACACCGCTGAAATCAGAAAATCTCTTGGGAGTTTCATCCCACTTCTAGCGTTATTTAAGAAACATGTTTGAAACCAGCAACCAGATTGTCATTTCCTGTATCCCCATTGCAATTCAAAAATTAGTTGTTTGAACATGATTGAAACCACCTCTAAGTGGATTGGGGGTCTCTTCACTGAGTCTGAAACGGACGTAAAAATGTATAAACTCAGATGACACACCTTTTTTTATAGCTGGGGAAGTCCCAGCAAAATCAAAAAAAACTGTTGAATGTGAAACTGACAACGGGATGTGCAGGGCTCGTGGGCTCCATGACCCCAGTGAGAGTGATCTGCCAGTGATGATTCCAGGGCCATTTTTATCTCGGGTCACTGGTTGAATCCTTCATTTTCCTAGTGAATATCTCAGGAGCTACATGGTGGTTTCCTGAAATAAGGCTAGCCCCAGTTCTCATCCATTTATAGATGGGGATTTTCCATGAAATTCCAACCATCCAGCGTTTTTGGGATACCCCCATGACTATGGAACCCCCCAATGCTTCTAACGTATTGATTGCAATCAATGCATGGCGACTGAGTTTCTGGCCAGCAAGGCGCGCCTGGGACTCCCGGGGGAAGCAAGTCATCCACCATCTGAAGTGATGGCTATGATTAAAATGATTTGGATAACTTGAATGATTTAAGATTGTATTATGTTGATGACTTGATTCCTTGATGGTGATTATGATGATGATGATGATGATGATGATGATGGATGATGACATGATGATGATGATGATGATGATGAGGAGGAGGAGGAGGAGGATGAGGAGGACGATTCCTATGAGTTTTGTAATGCTTGATATATCTGGCCGAATTGTAAAAAATCACCAACCTGAAAATACCTGCAACTTGGGGCCATTTTGAGAGTGATTACCCATCATTTCACAATTCTGTTACGACGTGAGGTCATGATCAAATTCGTCCAGAATTATCCATTACATTCCCATCAATATCCATATTAATATCGCATTGGTATCCATTTCTTGATGGCTTTTCCCAGCTATAAACCTCCATTACATTCCCATTATCCCATTCACGTCCCATTGATATCCATGAATATCGCCGAATATCGCACCAATATTGTTATTAAACCATCCATTAACCACCCTTTTCCTGTATCACAAATCACAGGTTTTGGTGCCAGTTAGCCCTTCCTTAAATGTTTAGTCAGTGGCTCATTCAAGATAAGATGTCAAGAATATGTCATCCAAATATATGGCTTGGGATGGTGTGGGTAAGTTATGTGTCATTACATTAGACCTGGCATTTGAGGCGTTCGGAGTTTTTTTTCCATGTATTTTTCCCACCTGAAGGTGCGAGTTGAGGGGACTTCCTTTTTCAACAACACACAATTGTCGTGTGGATGGTTAAAACTTAGCTTCCCGTTCTAAACACATGACCCAGTAAAACTTGGACCAAACAAAAATACCACATCTGTCCAACAAGGAAAGTCATCTCTGGGAACATAAGTTTCATCAACTCTGGGTCTTCCGAATGGAGCATTTGCTCCAACGTTGGCAGCCGATAGGTGTCCCACTTGGAACCAAGTTCCAATGGATGATTCGTGAAGGCGGTTTTCATGGCTTGGAAATGGGTTATATCTGAAACCAAGTCCCAGTTTTCCAGACTTCTGAGTATGAGATATTCGATATGACGACAATGATACTACATGAATATTCAATATGTACGTTAACATTATGTAAACATATGGAGTTATATTATATATAATGTTATATATACAGTAATATCGTCACCTTGTTTGCAGTTGCTAACCTCTCAGCTTCCCCAATATCATCCGGGCCCCAGGTCCCGTCGGAACCTCCGGTCTGCCATGTCGGGCGGCTTTTTTTCAAATGCTCCGAGAGCTGAGAGCTGCGGCTAGGATTTGGCAACACTTGAATTGGTTGAGGTTTACAGTTGGGAAAATCATCAGATAGTGGATATGTAATACTAATGGGAACAAATAAATCATCAGATAGTGGGAACATGGATTACATTTTTTTTCTAGTGGGATTTCTGAGTAGGAATCACTTGTAGGAACCGTGAAGCATGTGACTTGAATGGTGTGTACCTGACAACACAGGTTTACTGTTTGGAGGATCATCCCAGTTAGTAAGTGCTTAATAGTCATAGTATAACCATAGTTATATATATATATATTATTATATGATATAATATATATATAAGTATGTAATTATATAATTATGAATATATTTATATATAAAAATTAATTGTATAATTATATATACATATATATATATAAGTTCCTCCATTTGTAGATGGGATAAACTACGAATCGGAAAGGAAACTCTTCCAGGAACTTCCAAGTATCCATCCATCCATCCATCCATCCATCCAGGCATCCATCCATCCATCCATCCAGGCATCCATCCATCCATCCATCCATCCATCCACCCATCCATCATCCATCCATCCATCCATCCATTGGTTTAAGGGAAATATCCATCCATTGGTTTAAGGGAAATTTATACAGGAAACCATTGTCTTTTTACCAGTAAATATGGGGGTTTCCTGTAAATCTTCCAGTAAACCAATCCAATGATATACCCTCTGGTAATTTGTTACAAAAAAGCTATTGAACATGGCCATAGAAATAGTGGATGTTTCCATTAAAAATTGTGATTTTCCATAGTTATGTTAGTTTACCAGAGGGTAATTATGTTCTATACCATCTTCTATATCAATATCTGAAGCACTTAAACATCTGAACTGATTGAAGCACTTAAACATATTAACCAATAGTCCTTAGCATGCAGTCAAAATGAAAATTTAGCAATCAAACATCAAACGGACATTCAGAATTTCTTCACACAACTATAAATATAAAATTAAAATTACAGTAGAGAAAACAATTTTCTAATACAATCTATTCCCAAAACATGTTGAATCTGGTTGCGAATGTTTCACCGTGAGGGGCCATCACCCAGGATGGACCACTGGGAACATGCTGCAGATCGAAACCGAATCAATGCAGAAAGAGTTGCTAACTAAACAACCCTTGGGGATTATGATTACTATTATCATTACAATAATTAGTGTTATCATTATTATTATTAGAATTATATTGATATATGTACACTTTATTCATTTTGATTCAATAAACAAACTTAGCACCATCGAAGTGGGAGCTGAGATTTAATCTGGCAAATCCAATCTTATGCTGGTTGCAGTCCCATTTATCTAATCACACCTCCAAATAATTACATACAATGCCTGGCTGCCTGTCATTGTTTCGACGAGGCGAACATGTTCCACCAAAATAGCCGATGACATCACCAAAAATTGAAGTATTCACCATCTATTCACCAGCAGGTCCCAAAAAATCCATGTGCCACGCACCAACTGGCCCAATTTTGAGTGTCTCAGGCACCGTGTCTCGCGCCGCATCGTGGTATGGCACCAAACGAAACCAGGTTCCACGAAGAGATCACAGCAGTTCACCGTGGCTTCCCAACGTCCGACTCCGCGAAATCGAACATGACGACTTTGGCAGAGTTAACGGCCATGCATCGCAAAAACTGTGCTCTTTTAAAGTCACATGCCCTTGGTAAAGATGGTAAAGTATGTATATTAATATATTTTTATATGACTTTTTGGAGGTTGACCACCATGTCACCATGTCCAAATTCCAAGCTGATCTTGTTTGAACCATGTCTTGAAGCGTAGAAACTCTTGGAAACCCTGGTCAAACTGCAGATGCAGAGCGCGAATCTCTGCACCATCGTTAAACTTTCCACAAACCTCGGAGGTCAGATGCCGCAGAGCTTTTGATCATCTGAGGTCCCAAACTCTTAGAGGATAAGAACATTGGATGGATTCCCCAAAATATTGTACCCTCTGGTAAACTAACATAACTATGGAAAATCACCATGTTTAATGGGAAAATCAACTATAAATGGCCATTTTCAATAGCTATGTTAAATTACCAGAGGGTAAACTATACATGATTTCTGCCGCATCATGTCAAAATTTAACAACATGCCAATCTTTCTGGGTATCGCTATACTATAGCAAGAAAACATTACCATTGAGTCAGGGACTGTGAGCCATAGCCAGACTCAAGCTGAAGTTATACCCAATGATTCCCTACGTATATAATATGTATATATATAATGAATTATAATGATATTCCAGCCAATGACAATGAGGATTCAATTCTTTTCATTTGATATTTGGAGGTTTCCTGAAATGGGGGTACCCCCAGTCACCATCCATCTTTATCGGATCTTCCATGAAATAAACAACCAGCTATTGGGGATCGCCCGGATCGCCGTGCCTCTCTATGATTTGGTCACTCCTTGAAACAACGTGGTCACGTGGTCACCCCAAAAAACGCTGACTATAAAAAAGCTCCGAAAAGCTCCCATAGACTCAGATAGACTCAGATAGACTCAGATAGACTCTCCGAAAGATGCAAACGTATGGAAAAGTATGGAAATGTGTAGAACATGTCCTCTCAAACTTAGGAAAAGTATCGAACCATATCAACAAATCCCTCTCAAAGTTGATAAAAGTGTATGGAACATCCCGCGGGAGCCACAATCATCAGCATTCCACTGGGGACCGAGACACCTCGTGGTATTCAAAGCTCAGATGGCAGCAGTCCAGAACGCACGTTCTCATCTAACCTGGTGGAAGGTGGAGCTGCCTCTGGGAGTACTATATATATTGAACTACCACAAGGGTAATGACTCAGTCAGGAACCCTGATATCATGATGTTTTTTTGGGGATGTCCATTTGTTGGTGAGTGGTAGGTTATGCCAACCCATCCCTCCAATGGAATTCATAATTTTGGTTTGGAGATGAACATGAAAACATACTCTTCCTGAAGGAAAACTGATGAACATGAGGTTCGAAAATGATGAACATGGCCCGGTTCGAAAATCAAATTAGATGGGGATGACATTTTTGTTGAGCAACAACCTACCAGTGATGCTGGTGTTTGATGTATTCCTTTCTTCTCAATTGTTATTGGCTTTATCAAGAAATCAGTGCCAAAGCTTGTGGAAATCCCCAAACAATTTCTATTGGCTTGATCCCCGGCCCCCCCCAGCATCAGCAGGGAAGATTGGCCACCACCGAGATCGATATTATATGATATTATGGTAACAAGCCTGCTGGTTTCTCTAATAGGTTGGAGTTGATGATATTGGGGAAAACGTTTGATACTCTGGGTAGGCTGATATTGGTAACAGCGATCTGATCTGGGTTTGTTGCTTCCCCAATCCTCAATGTCTGATTCAATCAATCTACATTCACAAGAGAATACTCAGAGCAAGTCGGGAATCATATTGAAAGGATTTCGCCAGGCAGGCCGGTTGCTTGCCGTGGAAACGCCGAAGAAAACAAGTCCGGATTTTCTGTCGCTACAAGGGAGCAAGAGTCCTGATCATAGAACAATTTGATACAACTCAAAAACCACCCAAAATGAATAGAACCGACTGTTGGGTTTCTCAAAAATAATTGCGCCATAGTGCGCCTAGAATTTTCATGTTTGCTGATCTATATTCCCCGATGAGATTGGTCAATTTTGGGGTGACTCACCCATTTTGGGACTTCCACATCTCTGTTCACAGCTACCCTCCGGAAATCAAACATAGCAATGGACAATCCATCATTTATAGATGACTGCTTGGTGGTATACCTACTCCTCTGAAAAATATGAATCAGTTGGCATTATTCTTCCCAATATATGGAACAATAAAATTCATGTTCCAAACCACCCACCAGAATGATTTTCCTATTCAACCATCCATTATCATCCATTATGGGATTCCCCAGCCACCTTTGATTACCAGAGGCTACCCATTTTGCTGGGCTGAACCAGCCGTCACCCATCCAGCGAGCTACATTCGCCGCGGATATTCCGCGTGCACGAAGCATAGCAGGACCAAGCTCACCAGGCAGGCACCCATCATCATCAGCGAATCATATCCTCGGCGCATCAATTGATTTAAATGGCACCCTGTCCGAAAGGTTGGAACCCCAAAAATGGTTGGTTTGATCAAAAAGCTTCTGATAAGTTCTTCAAAAAATGATGCAGCAGTATTTCAAACAAACCTATATATAAAACCCCAACAATATAAATAGCATCTTTACAGGATGTAGGAGGTCTTTACCTTTTAATTTGCAAGTTTCAAACTGTTCTATGTTTTTGGGGGCTGGCTGCGTGTCAATGTTACTCCAGGGTGAAACAAGTCTGAACTAATTAATTACTTGATAGCATGGAGGGGTTCATGTAACCGTGCTTAATGTCTTTATTTCGAAATAAAAAAAGGAACTAACAGTGATGTATTGGAATGCCTTGCGGCAATGAATCAATCAGGGACAAAAAACACATAGGGACGGTCGCGAGAAAGTGGTGGCCCGCAATTCATCTCTTGCAAAGATATATCATGTACCCTCTGGAAATGACTGTTACATAGCTATTGAAGCCATGGCCCATAGAAATAGTGGATTTACCCATTGAACATGGTGATTTTCCATAGTTATGTAAACGTTTAGCAGAGGGTAAACAGCTTGCCTGCCAGCACTCCAACTGGAGTCTGTATCCCAACATCTTTTTTTTGAACATGACCCACAGACCCACAAGGCCATCCATCGCCGCTGACCCAAGGCGCTTGGAGGGACCAATGGAAAAATCCCCAGCAGCACAAAGCCGAAAAAGTTCAAAAGCCAGCTGAACGCTGCACCCGTCAGACCCTCCGAATGAGGATATGTCAACTCTGCACCTGCAGTGGTTTACCCTCTGGTAAACAAACATAGCTATTGAAAATTGCCATTTATAGTGGATTTACCCATAAAAAATGTGATTTTCCATAGTAGTTATGTTAGTTTACCAAAGGGTATGTGAGACGTGACGTGAGCAGTGGAAGAAGCGAACCAGGGAAAATAATGTTTTCAATCCGCAACTCATTCTTTTGCAGAAATCCCAGTTCCTGGAATGTTCACAGCTATAAAGGATAGATATAACTCCCTACAGCCCTACAACCACAAATTATCCATCGGTGTTGCCCCCGACCCATCCCCAATTGGCCGGTCTCATGTTCTGTGCAGCTGATGTTCCACAACTGTTTAGAGGTTACAAGCCATCCCAAAAGCACGGAACATCAATTTCTTGTCGAAAGCAACAAAAATATCTGAAACCACCTATCAGGAATAAATATAGATACAATGTCTACACTCTACACATATAATAAATATTCCATTTACAGTATAGCAAGGTAAAGCCCCTGTTTCTGGCTTAGTCCCCTATATCTTTAATGCCGCGGGGCTTAGCTCGTAAACCATGGGTGCCACGGCTCCTTCGGCTACGGAGGCCACTACCTCAGCAATGATTGGATCATTTGGGAAATGATGTGAAATGATGTGAAATGATGTGAAATGATGTGAAACCTGAAGAGTTCAGTTCAGCCTTTCAGCCTTGGTGGCTTCCACTTCTGTTCTTTTTGATGTTGATCATGCAAACCATTAGCCATTAGCCATTGTCTGCGGCTTCTTTTTTTTCCCCAAAAAAGACCGAGAAAATCCCATGTTTTGCATGTTCATCAGGTAAAATCCATGTAAAAATCCATGTAAAATCCATGGATTTCATGGTGATCTCTCCATTTCCACGGTGACAAAAACCGAGCCACGAGCCAAGTCATCAGCCATGCGGGCGAGGCAGGCCCTTCCTTCCAGACCTGCGAGACTCTTTTTGTGGCTGGAGCCTTTGGACATCAGGAAATGGCCAGTGAATTTTTGGGGATCGCATATTTATATAATATAATGTATCTGTATATGTATATATTATTTACTTATTACCAGCCAAGTTCCTTTCATAATGTCATAATTTACGATCATTTCGCAGTCATATGCTAGTATTAATTGTTTGATTCCTCTATCAACTATCCATAGCACAACTGGTTGGTGGTATACCGACCTACCCCTCTGAAAAATATGAGAAAGTCAGTTGGGATGATGATATTCCCAATATATGGAAAGTCAAAATCCATTCATGTTCCAAACCACCAACCAGTTTTGATTTTCCTATGTCAACCATCCATTATCATCCATTTATAGTTGATTTACCCATTAAAGATGGTGGATCTTTCCAGTTCGTTATGTCAACGTTTACCAGAGGGAAACTTTTGGATTGGGATACCCCGATGTGAAAAAACATACAACTAACCAGACGAACTCCGGTAGCCACCTTTGATTCCTCTACGGTAAACCGGATAATGTTGATTATATATTTCGACCAAAATATATTGATGTTGAATTGATTCCTCTACGGTTCATAATATAAGAAATAATCAAGATATGTTGACCAAAATTCAACCATCCAATATCATCCATTTAAATGGGATTCAACCATCCATTATCATATATCATTATATATGATTACTATTCCCCACCAACCAGAAAATTCTTGGCTTTTTTGGTCCAAGCGTCGGCCACCGGACTGTCCGGCAGCGATGCGGCGAAGATGCTAAAGGCCACCAGTTGCCTCTACTAGTAGCGCCGTGCGCCGTGGTGGTTTTCCCCCGGGGTTTGGATCCCGAAAAAAATGGTAATTTCACCAGGAAACATGGTGAAACATGTTGAAAAATGGTGAAACATGGTGAAAAATGGTGATGTCACCAACAAAATTATGATGATTGAACCAAGATTTACATTGGAAGTTTTTGCTTGTTGATTTAGTGACAAATGGGGGTTAAAACAAACATAAACGAAGGGGGAGCCACCTTTCAGGATGAACATTATTTCAGGAACCAATAAACTACTGCATCCTACCATAGCTGGTTGGTGGTTTTAACCATCTTGAAAAATATTTTGGTAAATGGGAAGGATTAAATTATCCCATATATCACGGAAAATAAAAATATTTGAAACCACCAACCAGTTATGTAGAGGCTATGTAAGGGATATGCCCCCGAGAACTATGGCTTTGTACGGTACAGTACGTCCAGTTCGGTACCTGAAATGGCCATCAATGAACACCTCTGGCAGCTAGGTACATTGAACAACCTGTACAAGTTGGGTCGGACATCCAAAAGTTGTTGAAGCAAAACAAGAACATGCTAAATCATTCTAACACAAACAAGTTTAAAACATGTTGAATGCCTAAAACTGTTCCAGCATGGTTACCACAGTCTATACCCTCTGGTAATTTAACACAGCTATTGAAGCCATGGCCATTGAAATATTGAGTTTTCCCATTAAAAATGCTGGATCTTTCCAGTTCGTTATGTAAACACTATGTAATCATTTACCTATGTAAAAATTGTGATTTTCCATTGTGATCCCATTAAAAATGCTGGATCTTTCCAGTTCGTTATGTAAACATTTACCAGAGGGTAATTCATCCAGAATTATCCATGACATTCCCATTTAGATATCCAAATTAAATGTTGGTTACCATAGTCTATACCATATATCAATGGGAAAACTTTTTCTGATCATAGCCATGGATCTCCAGAGTAATGATCATTGTTCTGGATCAGCAATGTGCACCTAGCATGTTGATCCCATATCCTTCCGTTCGACTCCTCCGACTTGGTCAACATCTGGATCTCCGTTCCGAAGGGGGATGTGTGGGAGAATAAAAAAAACTACGGTAACTAACTTTATACTTTCACATATATATATATAAATAATATTGTATATATATATACATAATATCTATATATATATATTATGTATATATATTATGTATATATATATTGTATATATATACATATATATATATATATATTGTATATATATATATACATAATATATATATATAATTATACATAATATATATATATATATATTATGATATGTTGATTATTTGTCATGCAGATCTCTATCAAATTCATATACAAACATCTCCTCGACTTCAAAACGCACCTTCACCATATCTGGACCCATGTGAGATAGACCGATCAGATTAAGATATTTACTGTCTATTCATTTCAAGTATCCTCCGGTAATCAAACATAGCTTGCCTATTGAGTTGGGGGACCAGCCAGCCATGCTTTCATGACACCGGGCATGTCATATCTTTCCGGGGTAAATCATCTATACATGGGAATTTGTCCAGCTATGTTAGTCTATTGGCAGGAATACCGACAAAACCCAATAAATCCGATGAAATCCCAGTAAATCGCATGAAATCACCATTCCTTTCCGTTTCTTCACCTGATGTCTCAGCAGTGCAACATCCAAAAAAAAAATCACCACGAAATCCCATGAAAAAAACCTCAGTCGATGTCCGATCTTCTCCAAGGTGCACCAGCAGCATCGTTGCCATGGCAGATTTCAAGCGCCACTGGAGCTTCAAAGCTTCCATCAGTGGCGGGCAGAGGCAGCTGCCCAGGACGGAGGCCGTGGCCGTGATGATGGCCTTGATGATGGACGGCTTTTTGCAAGGCTTCCGGGGATTTTTACTACCCACAGGATTATATAGATATAGATATAGATATATACACGTATATAATTTATATAATACAGCTATATTAAACTTTAGTATATCAACAAACATGTGTTATTAGAAAAACACAATTCATTAATTAGTCATATTCCACTGGGATTGCTGACCTAAGTACTGTACAAACTGGTTGATGACGTCAGGAAATACATGGACAAAACCCTGGAAAACACGTGGTTTTTCCAAGGACCGTTCAGCAAAGTTAAGCCACATTTATAGGGATTAAAAAAACGCATGTATAACATTGTATCATGTATAACTCAGTATTGGCCACTTTAGTGGACAGTGGAAATTCAATGGAATTTCATTATCCATATTCTGCTGGGAATTATCTATGTTTCACAGGGATCTATAGTCCGTACACCCAATCTATGGTTGCTCTGAATTCAGAATGTGATGATGATTACATCACCAATGGATTTGGAATATGGATTTGGAATATGGAGCCCTTTTGGACAAACCAAACATACCCTCTGGTAATTTAACGGTTTGCTATTGAAGCCATGGCCATAGAAATCGTGGATTTTCCCATTTTAAAATGGTGATTTTCAATAGCTACGTCAAATTACCAGAGGGTAATTGCTTGGTAGGTGGTACTTGGAGGACATCATGCCAGGATGGCACTGAATCTACAACTCGATTCGAATCGAGTGAACTGTTCATACCCAAAGCGGGGCCATCGATCGGGATCCCAAAAAAAACGACATGTTCGAAGAAAAATAGTTTTTTTAAAACAAAAACTAGGATATGGGTGAAAAATGGGATATATCATCTATAAATCTATGGATATACTATGATATACCCTCTAATAAAACCATGATTCTTGTCAAAGTAAGAAATCTTAGCCCACACGAGCCCAAAATGGCAGTAGAGCATGAGACGCTGTGTATACCTGACAGCAGCACAGGTAGGTACAAGGGGTCTGCTTTTAGGGTGGTACATCACTTGCCAACCTATCTGCCCTTCACCAAGGGTTACTACTCGGAGGATCATCCCGTGTGGTAAGTGCTTAACACCCATAGTTAATTCATACATCTTATAGACAATGTGAGGCCCCCAAGATATAAGTTGGTTTATAAGCCTCAGTAACTATAGTTATACATACCATAAACCATAGTTATTGGAGTTATAGACCAACATTTATTAGATGATTTAGATGGGATCACGGATCACTAAGCGCTATTAACCGCTGACGAGATTCGTGGGACAATCCTCCGAGTAAGTCTGGCTGGGACTCGACTGTTGTCACCAAGTTACGAACCATTTCAAAAGGCTTTCAGGCAACGCCCTGGCGCGGTGACTGTGCTGTTGAAGGAGCAGCTTCCTTTTTTTAGCCCAGCCCAGCTATGATGATGCCATGATGGGGTGACACAAGCTGAGCCTGGAGTTAAGAATCCTTGCTGGAAATACAAGGGATCAGAATATCCCAGCACAAGAAACATAGAATCATTAGGATGTTGAAACTGGATTCAATAATCCGTATATTACATGATTTCATATGTGTATATACATATATATATATATACATGTATGTATATATATATTTACATATATATATATATTTACATATATATATATATTTACATATATATATATGTATGTATATATATACATGCATATATATAATTTATAATTATATATATACATATATATATACATATATATATATACATATATATATACATATATATATATATACATACATATATATATACATATATATATACATACATATATATATACATATGTATATATATATATACATATGTATATATATATATATACATATATATATGGGGAAATTATAATATTTCACTAACCTGAATTAAGGCCATTTGCGGATGATTTCCCTTATTAACCATGATTCCAGTGAGGTCGCAGTGAGGTCGTTATAATTTACCCATATATATGTATTGCAATTTTTGAATTATTTCTATCGATTTCTTGAGGCTGCAACACCCAACCCACCCGAAAAGCCCTGCGAACCCTTGCAGCTGTGTCGGAAGCGCAGGCGACCAACATTGGAAGACACCGATGGAGAAGCCTCAGCCGAAAGATTCACCGCTTGTACGTTGTTGTCTGGGAATCTGTAAGAACAGCAATGGGGATATGTGGGTAGATGGGGTTATACAAGCTACCAAAGCTGAAACAATATATCGTCTTTATTGGATACACTACATATTTGAAGCCCCAAAGCAGTATCCCTAGTTTAGGTAACCAATGAATATCCAAGATTATCCAAGTGTAAGGCTATATATCCCATAATATCCCTAATTTACCATCCGGTAATCAGACATGCCAATCAAAAATTGCCCATTTATTTCGTTGATTTTCCCATGAAACCCGATGTATAGCCACGTTTGATTACCAAAAGGATCCAAAAGGTATATCCCATCAATATTCAATCGTACCCCCAATGATTGAGTTTAATATTGGTTGATAGGATGGTGATTGTTGGGTTTACCACGTTATATCCCTAATCTAGATACATTGATATTATGGGTTTACATTACTATTGTGGATTGTAAAAGTCCCCAATAGGACAGGTGGTATAGCAACCTATATTAATCCATCACCAACGGTTCTTTTTTTTGTGTGTGTAGGTTTAATTGCCCAATTGACATACATTACCTATCATTATCTTGGAGGATCATCATCATCATCATCGTCATCATCATCATCATCATGTTGTGATAATTCCAATATCAAACATGAGGTTAATATGATATAATGAATTATTTATCATAATATTTAATCCCTATTAACCCATACAATATGATATTCCAATATCATGTGATATTTCATGTTGATTTAATATGGAATAATATGGATTAAATGAAAATCTGGGAAACTATGCTGTACCCAACCCCCCCTATACTGATCCTAATTTTAAGTACAGTAACCCTCCATGTATGAGTTATCATAATCCCCACTAAATTAGGTAGTATAAGTCCCAATGTTAACCAATCAACAAGGCTACTTTCAATAATGTGGTTGAACCAATAGTAAACCATCCCAAAATCACCATTCCTATGGGTGGTATAAACCATCAATCCATATGGGTGGTTTATACCATTGCTTCACTAACATTAGATCATGATCATCATTACTTAAACATACTTAAACTAGTTCAATTGAGTTAACCAACTTATCAGTGGGATATCGCTCATTTATTAGTGGGAGTACTAGTACTATTGGGTACTATTATTACTATTATAACTTGCAGTAAACTTGCTATTATTTGCTATAACTATCGTTGGATACTATTATTACTGGTTTGATGGTATACCTACCCCTCTGAAAAATATGAGAAAGTCAGTTGGGATGATGATATTCCCAATATATGGAAAGTCAAAATCCATTCATGTTCCAAACCACCCACCAGTTTTGATTTTCCTATGTCAACCATCCATTATCATCCATTTGTAGTTGATTTACCCATTAAAGATGGTGGATCTTTCCAGTTGGTTATAAAACCCGCGCGCGTTCCAACCAGGGCCCTGCGTCAAGGCGCTTCCCGCCAGCACCAGCACCACTGTGGAGATCCAGCGCCGCCGCGGCAGTGCGGGAGGCGAGGCGTCCAGACGTAGCTCTTGACCTGGACGCCGAGATCGGGGCGTTTTGGCAGCGAAATGATGAGTCAGGATATGCACATGCATATCTTGTAATGTATATATAATTATATATATATACACATTTGTATAAATGTATATATATATATATAAACAGCATATATAGATATGATTCCTCATAATCATGTAGATATATATGTTAGGATCACAGTGAGTGTGTATATATTATACACAGTGTAATGGATTGACATGGACATGTGTTCAAAAAACAACCCGACTCTTAAATCATTAAGACCAGTGTGCCCTCAGTGGGAAATTCGCAGTCGTGAAGCGACGAAGCAAGAAATGGTCAAAACTAGTCAAAACTGCTGTTTTTTTTTCGCCCTCCAACCATCCCCCGACGTGACAGATACTCCATGCTTTCCATTCACCTCGACCCTTCCTCCTCACGACCATCCCATCCCAATCAGCTGGGTCTCAAAAATGCTGGACTCCTTTGGACCCAACAACCGTTTCCTCTGAAACATCACCTGGCCAACTTTGGGTCCATGACTTAGGAACCCCTCCATCATTGCTGGATACTACTGGCATAGAACTGGTCAATATCCCTATGTTTCGTGGTTGATACGTTGTTAATGCCACCAGAAATACAACATAATACTACCATTGCTGCTGTGTAACATACCCATCTTCATGGTGAAAATGGTTCATATCGCTTGGACATTAAACATTCCCATAGAACTCCCGTAAATGTTCCGTAAATCCGTAGATCAAGGTCCAAACTTGCCACACTTCCACGCCCCAATCGTCCCATGGTGCTTTCCAGGTGACTGTGAGAAGGTGGCACCTTCGGTTCTCGTGGCAGCAAGGCCCAAGTTCCTAAGACGGCCAGGGCGAAAGCCGCTTCCACAAACATCAGCAGCACCATGTGGTCACCTGATGGCTGAAGTCGGCGATTTGCTGAACTGCTGCTACGTTAAAGATGTTAAGCAACATATCCCGTCATGAGTATCATGAGTCAGAATTGAATTCCTTGTGGTAGAATTTAGCCAAAGATTCTCACTGGTAAGACTTACCCGTCCGAGTCTGATTCGGCTCTCCAACTGTTTCGCTGAGATGCACGTATTTCAATTGGGCCCCAGTGAAAACAGACCGACCCTAGACGAGGCCACAGCTGTACGACAAATTATACATTGTATCATATAAATACCAATACATATATATGTATATATATATAGATATACCTAGAAAACCAAGTTGCAGGAAAAAAAGGGGCACTAACGAAAGTGGAAGTTTTGGGCGCCACTTTCACAAAAGTGGCAGTTTCTCAAAAAGTCGAAATTTACCATCTCAATCATTTCCTCTCCAATCTCACACTTTTCACCTTTTTTCCTCACTTGTTGGCATCTGAAGCTCGCCAGCTCTATACCACTGTGTGGTGCTACGAACCAGAATGTGATCAAAGAACAACTTTTCATCCACAACTGCGTCACAGCTCAAACTTTATCCATCATCTTACCACACACTGGCCACAGCGATTTTGTATCGTTGCAGCGTCTTCACCTGCACCGTTTTCGATGCGACCTGTCTGCTCATCTGAGCCAGTCTGCCAACAAAATCCTCGTCCATCTGGCAACTGAATGCCAATGGGGACAATGACTCCACGCCAAGCTGTCTGTCGCGCATCAGTTCGAATCGGACTTCAGACAGCATATGATACTTAGGCTGGAATTTGAATCGGGTCAGCTTCAAAACCTTGAAACTGTACCCAGCCGCCTTCTTGAAGTTTGCGAGCAAATCTCGCAAGGAGTCGATCACAACATCCCGCTCATCATTAGTGAGCCAAAGTGAAGCCCTGTAAAGGGTCTTGAAAAATTTGCTCGAGGCCCGCAGGCATACCAGAATCGATTCGGTGTAGATGGCATGCTCCTGTCCTGGATCATCTTCAAGGATCTTGGCGAAGCGGTGCTCCAAAAAGTATGTCAAAGTCGTGGTGTCAGCACCCTTGAACCATCCCCTGAGTTGGAGCTCAAACAAGTTTGGAAAAGACATGTCAAAAATTGCCAAAGAAAGCGTCGGAAAATGTGATCTTTGAAAGCACATCGAGGGACGCTGCTGGGAACGACCACGAGTTTGCAAATCCCAAAATCGTCCGTGAAAGCTGCAGCATATGCAATGGTAAGGAGTTCTCCTTTGCAAACGCAACAAGCTGGTCATATACAGTGTCAATCCCAGAGGAAATTGCCATACCATCGATCTGGAGGTCAAACAAAGCTACCTTGGTTGAGAGACTTGATTTCAAAACGTGAAATGCGATAGCACTCGTTTGCCCTTTCCGGTTTGTTGTTTTCAGCACAACAACCTTTAGAACATGAAGCAAAACTTGCTTTGTGTTTGCAACTGCTTGCACATGGCGAGTGGCAATAGCATTTGCACATAGGTCCCCCATGACGCCTTTGTGTCCAACATGAAACGTGTCAATCTTGTAGAACTGTTCCCGCTTCGATGGGCTCTGGGGAACTTTCCTGCTCAGGGAGCTCGGTCTGAGCCAAGGCATTTCTTCAGTGCGGGCTGCCTGCATGGAAGTGAAGTCAAACCGATGGAAATTAAAACCGGGCTGCCCAGCTCGGCAGAGATGACAAATCCCTGCCGAGTCGGTTTTGTGAGCTTCTCGGCCGTGGTGCCTTGTCAATCCACCCAGCTTCGTCAATGCGGGCCAGTCGCCCTTCACCCCCAGCAAAGCCACGTATAGAGATGTCCGACGGCCTCCAAGATCAACCTGGGTGCCACGAGATCGATGCAAAATCTAGCTGAACTTAACTGGGCCCCGAAAACTAAAACGAAGTTCTTTTTTTTCCTGCAACTTTGGATTCTGTATCTGTAGGGCACCCTTTGAATTACTTTACTTCGAGTGATCCCCACCATGACATTTATATGTTTTGTTACTGGCAAACCTTCTGGCTTTCTATCTGACACTGACATATCTTCTGGCATTCTATCTGGCATATCTTCTGGCATTCTACCTGGCATATCTTCTGGCATATCTTCTGGCATTCTATCTGGTATATCTCCTGGCATATCTTCTGACATCCTATCTGGCAAATCTTCTGGCATTCTATCTGGCAAATCTTCTGGCATTCTATCTGGCAAACATTCTGGCGCCTGGCATACCTTGTGGCATGCTATCTGGCATATCAGAACTCATTCTATCTGGCATATCTTCTGGCATTTTATCTGGCATATCTTCTGGTATTCTATCTGACATGCTATCTGCCGTTCTATCTCGCATATCTTCTGGCATTCTGTCTGGCCGTTGAGGTCCAGCGGTGCTCACTGAGCTTGGAAGGTCCCAGGTTGAGGTCCAGCGGTGCTCACTGAGCTCGGAAGGTCCAAGGTTGAGGTCCAGTAGTCACTGAGCTCGGAAGGTCCCAGGTTGAGGTCCAAAGGTGCTCACTGTGCTCGGAAGGTTCCAGGTTGAGGTCCAGAGGTGCTCACTGAGCTCGGAAGGTCCCAGGTTGAGGTCCAGCGGTGCCCACTCCGATCGCACGCCGGCAGTTGAGGTCCAGCAGTGCCCACTGCGCGCGGAAGTTGGCGAAGAGTTGGCAAGGTGGAAGTGAACATGGGAGTGGATGCAGAGGTGGTGGAGGAGATGCTGGAGGACGAGGAGGAGGACGAGGAGGAGAGGGAGGAGGAGGAGGAGGGGAAGAACAACTCTGACAAAATCTAACAACCCTCGCCTGGCAGGTGGGGAAAAAATACGTTTTGGGCGATCTTTCTTGTTTCTCCGTTGTTTTGACCATATATAGGTGTCCTATGGCTCCCACAAAAGTGTACCAGCATGTTGCCACGAAACTTCAACTGGATGCTCGAACAAATTTTTCAGATCATCAGCCAATGATTCGATCAGCTTTGTAAGCCGCACGGCTTGTTTTTTACGGTAGCATCTTCCCATGATGGTTGTGTACAAGAACCTGGTGGTAAGACTATTGCCCACAAAGTTGACTTGCTGCCCCCCAAAGCTCGTACCATTGCCAATCAATGGTTGTACACTTACAATCATCAACGGCCTTTTTTTTTGGGAAGTGCCCTCATCAGCATGCACCAGAACCGGAATAGTATGTCGCCGCCGGTCGGCTGAAACAGCATAGATCGGGTGATCAGGCTGCAGACCTTGAAATTTCTCCCAAAACATGGAGTATTCATCCAGCGAGGGATCTTTCACCAAATGTTCAAGTTTGTCATTCCTTGATAAGCAGTCAATCACGTCCCTGAATTTCAACACGGGATGTTGCCACCCAATGTTGACAAATGATTCCCGAAAGTCAGCTATAAGGTTTGCACGGGCGAAGTCTTCAAAAACACGGCTAGGATGCCCTGTGTCGTGCAATCTTTTCATCTTTGATAGCAGTTTTGAAGAAGCACTCTCTCCAACACCCAGCTCGATACAAATAGCATTTACGATGTTGCAAACTGACGACTCGGGAACCTTTGTTTCACAGAGATCCCCAACAGAAATTGGTCACGGAATGACCCAAACAATATCTTAGACCTAAAGATATAGGGGTTTAAATACACAGAAAACAAAAGATAACCACAAGGGTTGGTAAATGAACCTTTGAAACATTTTTCAAAGGGGTCCAATTTTTTGGATTACTATTTGGAATAAGTATAGTGGGTTGATGATATGTTTCAAGGACATTTACCACCCCTATAGTTTACTCTTAATGCATATATAGCCACTCCTTTCGACACGGCCTCCGCCAATGCCTTGCCAACTGGCCCGGCAGTGCCAGCGCGGGGCTTCTTAGCGATGCCGCCGGCATCATCACCTGCGTTGGGGACAATGCTCGCTGACCATGGAGGTGTTGTTTTGGGGGAACACTACGTCCAAATAATTATAATATAACGTTTAACATCGATATAGTTGAAGATGAACCAAACAAACCTATACCAATCCCTCGGGGAATAGCCCATGGCATATGAAGGGGTTGATGACGGGACTCCTTCTAATTCAGGTGCGTTGCAATCATCCCCTTTTTTTCTTGTCCAAAACCAGGGAAACATTTTGGGTGTTGCTTTGAAAGGTAATGTATAAGATGGATTGATGGATTCCCCAAGAATGCCTGCGGACATCGTGAGCACACACCTTTCTTGATTCTTGCCACTTGTCTAGCGTCACACCCCGCCACTGATCTAATCTTGGCTGGTACGGCCAGGATTCCCGCAACAAAAGATATATTAGCAGTCAAAACATGACACGAAGGACATCATATATACATACAATACATTATATAAATTATACTTCAATGGGTTCCCCTTGCAGGCCACTCCAGCCAAAAGGATTATGAGTCGACCTGTAACTCAGTAACGCACACCCTCCGCTATCAACCCCTTCAGATTGGAAAAGTAAAGGGGCCATGAGCAAAATCTATGGGACCAAGGTTGGAAAATATGTTTAACATATTTGGGGTTGATGCGTATAGGTGGCTGCATCCCTCATTCAAAATGCTATTGCGATGCCAATGGCATCAGAATTGGGTCCACTAATTTGAACCAAATCCCAAAATATAAGCATTTACTTCCCCGTTTTCTTGGGCTTGGCGCCCGACTTGGACTTTGCCTCCGCGGCAGGCATCTTTGACGCCTTTTTTTTGGAAGGGGGAGGTTCTTCGTCCTCATCTTCCCAATCCTGCTCCTCTTCCTCCTCTTCTTCCTCACCTTCCTCATACGTGTGATCCTTCTTAGCCGGCTTGGACTTTGCCTTGCTGCCAGCTTTGGGCTTAGGCTTGGCCTCAGGCTGCTTTTTGAGGATAGTCCTCGCAATGGCCACGAGACCAAAAATACCGTTGTAAATATAAACATTCAAAAAGTCACGGCTTGAAACACAACACCCCATATATATATGTATATATAGTCATGTGATATATGATATTATATATATAATATGATTATATATATATATAGAGGCTTTTGAATATCCTTAAACTCCCTGCGAGTACCCATTCCCTCTGTCCGGGTCAGCTTCTTGTGTTCCATTGCGGCGCGGCTGCACCTGAGGCCAATGTCAAGCTGGTGGATGGGATGATGCTCGCTGAGGACTGGGGCTGTTGAAAAAAAAACAATATAGGGCTCCAACGCCACTTCCACTTGGCGAAATTTTGCACGAAGGGTTTTGGCTTTCCTTAAGAAAACAAACCATGAGAATTCCGCTTGCATGGGCGAGAATTCCGTTTGCCAAAGAAGTTTTGGTAAAAAAAACACGTGGGCAGGCTAGGTTCTCTGGACTGATCTCCTTGTCAGCATCATACTCCGCTTTGAACGTGGCGATCTCGTCATGCAAGGTGAAGAGGGTCTTCTTCTGGTTTTCGATGGACTTGACCATCCTTAGATCCACGAATACAATTCTCTGGGGCATTCCCTAAATATTATACAACCCTTCAAACATCATTTGCAAAAAATATAGAATATGGTAGGGGATCTCATAAACAATTTGGTCCTATACTTGGTCAAATGAGTGTCTCGGCAGCTTCAGTTGTTTCCAGTTTGCTGAGCTTGTCCAACAAACCGTCCATTTTCACACTGGATTTCAAGATCTGGGACAACACTTCATCCGTGTTATAGATGTCCTGTGGGACTGGGCCATTAGAGTCAAAGTATGGGTACGATGGTTTTGACTTTGACGCAGGATTTGAAAATGCGATGTTTGAGTTTGTAACCCAGACCAACTGGACGAACAATGGGTCAAACAAATGGTTTTACCGAAAATTAGTCCTCTGGAATCTCATCAACATGTCGATCGGTCTTTGTCTTCTTGGCTTCCCCATTGGCTGAACTGGACTTGCGTTTCACTGATTGGGAAGCACCCTTGCTCACTGATTTGGAAGTAGCTTTGCTCTTGGCATCACCATCTTCGTCTGAAGAATCGCTGGTTTCCTCAGCCATCATGCCGTCATCAGAGTCGTCCGATTCCTCAGCATCAGCCGTGACAGGATTGCTGGGACGAGATGACTCCGAGATGGGACCAAGACCTTCAGGCACGGTTGGGAAAGCAGCGGAGCTGGGACCAGAGACTTCAAACTCCAAGCGGTGTTCCACTAGTTCATTGTGCTCCCGGTTGTACTCAACAGTGTCTTCAGTCTCCACCAAGTACTTGCTGATGTTTTCGTACTTGTCTTTCCTCTCTACAGGTATAACCGGGATTATAGGATTCAATGGCCCAGGGCTCATGCATTAGTTTTGGATAATGATTGTGAATATACTATATATATACTATATATATACTATATATATATATATACTATATATATATACACTAGATCTATATTATATTTAATATATATACCTTTAGGTATGAAAAAGGACATGCCAAACCTCCCCAAACACACTCCGCATTGTCTCCTGACATGCGTGGCCCGTCTTTTCTTGTCCTCGCAGTAGGTCATGATCGCCTTGACTCTCTTCCTGAGCAGTGGCCCGGCTGAAAGGACGCATGGTCGTGGTGAGCGGGTGGAACATGATAAAGTATAATATCCCCATGGTTTGGAAATATATAATATATATACTATTATATAGCTTTGGGGTTGCCAATGTTGGTTAACTATTATATATAGAAATAGATAGAAATAGTACATATATATATAATGATATATATTATGTATAAAAACAGAAATGTTTAATTTTCATCGTTGCAAATAGAATCATATGCTGGCAAACATGAGGATCCAGCAGCGCTACAGTCCCTTATGTTTCGTGGTTTGTGCTCCCAAATTCTAGAAACCAAGTTTCGAAGAATACTTAAGCTCAGTCTTCATAGCTTCTTCGGTGTAGTACCCACCCCCCTGATGTTCCTTCCTCTGGCGGCGCTGTTGGATCCGCATGTCGGCTGAGCGCTTGAACATGTCCTAGGACGGGCTTGGATGGACATATACTTGATGCTATACATACAGGTATAATGACCCAGACCCCTAAAAAGCAAAGGGAAAAGAATTTGAGTGGAAAAGCGGTATATACCTGAACAATTAGCTAGTATCATGATTGCCATTGCAGTCAATGAATAGTTTGATAAGTTCTTTTCGCCCCGCTCCACCATCCAAGAATGCCGAACAAATTTCCTTGGACACCTTACGCTGGCCCCTCTTGCCAACTTTGCACAATCGACGGATTGCCTGTTCTGCGGCCTTATCCGAGATTTCCCTCTTGTTTTTTCCACCGATGAGCTTGACAGACCGGGCATCCTTAGGAGATGAAGGGTCGGCATTAGAAACCTACGAGTTACCGGGTATATAGAGACCAGAACCAAGGATAGGGATGAATCCTTTGGGGAAATTATAACATGTGTATGGGTCAATACATATAGTGGTATATATATATATATTACCCATTCATTAGGAAATAACTGTTGGATGACTTACGCTTGTAGACAATGGTCACATCCTACATTATGCTTTTCCAGTGGTGTATGTTCAACAAGAATGGATGGGGTGTAATGTGATTAAGTTAAACAACGGTGGCATCTATATAGTGAGTGTAGAAAAACAAAGTCTCGGGTTACAGAATTGGGTATATATATATTATTGATTTGACATTGGAACGTTGGGACCCACATTGCGACCTTTCGAACAATCAATAACTGTCATCTTGGGGGGGCAATAAAAATACCATACTTGGGGCCCCAACGTTGAACATTAAATGAACAAACTTGCCCACGCATTGGCCTAGACACACTGTTTGAAGGTTCCCCTGGACCAGTGGAGCCACCTGGTGTCTCCATCACTGCATCCCCGGGTGTTCCCCCCGACTGCACCGGGGCTGCTGCGGGCACCACCACCTTTGGGGCCGGTGTTGAGGGTGGCTCCGTTGGAACTGCGGGTGGCTCTGTGGGAACCACGGGTGGTGGGACTGGCAACTCAGCTGGCGCCTGGGCCGGCTCAGGTTCAACCTTGCCGGCTTCATCACCAATACCGACAGATGACATGGCCGAGGCCAGTGATGTGAAGTACTCCTGGGCGCGCCGGGGTGATCTTTCATGGTATAAAAATTATTTGTTCATTTACTGTATATATATATGTATTTATATTTATATTTATACGTATATAAAAAATATAGTAAAACATATATATATATATATATAATATAATATATATATATATAAAATCTATAATATATATAATATAATATATATATATTATATAACAAATAACAAAATATTATACATTTTACGACGTAAGATTGTGTAGGAATCACTTTGTTACATATCCAGAGGTCAGATGGGGAAACAAACAAGATATATAAAACATTGTAGAACTATACGGGGCACCCAAATTGCAAAATTAATGGCAAACCATCGGCATACAACAAGAATCCTGGAGAGAATCAGCACCCTGGGGGCTCGGCGTTGGCACTAGGTAATCGTCCACCCGGAGAGGTGAAGGTGACTCTAACTCGGTTGGGGTCAAGGGTTCTCTGACATCACGGCTTCTCATGTAGCTCTTCTGTTCCGGCGTCTCTCTAGCCAATGCTCGTGTTTTGGCACGCACTGGAGTCGACACAGGCCTTGAACTCTCATCATCCAAACAGTGTTGTGACTCAGGGTACAAGCCTTGTTGGTTGTCAGGGTATTCTGGCTCAAAAGACTCAGCCATGGAAAGCACAGGGACTTCATGTGTTGGAAGGTCTGCAGGTTGGGTTTCCACAGGTTTGTCACCCCCACCCTCCGCAGTAACCGCCTCTGAATGCATAAGGGCAACAGAAGTCACTGCATTCTCTGATTCCTTCTCCTTCTCCAACTCCTTTTCCTTGGCCTGAGTCTGCTCAAGCTGGATCTCCAATCGCTCCCGCAATTGTTGGGCAGCCTGGGCACGCATGGCTTATAATTTGTTCATATGGATGGTAAAGGAAAAGGTATTGCTATATAAATACCAAATGAATGTGTTCCAGTGGAGCCGGGAAACTTTAAGTTGCTCATCAATATCCATGGTCTCTTGCTTCACCTGCTGCCTTTGGTCATCTAAGTATGAAATACCCCTGCTCAAGGTGCTGCAACTCCACTGCCGGCTGCGCAGCTCACGTAACTCATCCGGAGAGATCATGGGTGAAAAGTTTCAGCCCCAAAAACCCTTGCCCTGGAAGCAAAATGCCTGCATATGGATGCTGAAAAAAATGCGCAAAATTGACAAAAACTCAGGGTACGGAAAAATACGCCACTTTTTCACGAAAATACGCCACTTTTTCACTTTTTTTTCACTTTCATTTTTTGTGATTTTTTCATTTTTTTGGAAGAAAAACGAAAAAATCAACTTAATCCCATCATTCTGCAATACTTTTTCCTCTCAAGCCCATTGTGTGGCGAAGGTTTGCGTTCAAATTTTAAAGCCATCGAGGGAGGTACTGCTTGATCTCCTCTGGGATTTCTGTGGACTTATTTCCGTACAGGTATCGACACACCTCTGGCATGTCAGCATCAGCCCACACGTCCTCCAAACCGCTTTGGAGAGGGCCAAGGTAGTCGTCCATCATGTCTAGCTTTTTTGGTACCTGCCATATATATAATATATATAAATAGGCACAAGTCCCACCCCCAGTCTTTTAAGATAGGATATTTGGGGTTAAAACACCAGGCCTATTCACAGATGAACATGTTACTACAGGAAACAAAAATGAAAAGCGTTGGTAATGTGGGACTGGAATTACAAGCACCTTGTGGTTGATGTTGATCCAAATGAATGGGGATGCTCCAGGTGTTCAATTCCCAATCAAGCAATCTGGGTTTCGGGCATCCATCAGCACCCCTACTGTAAGACATCCCCACATGTTTCATTGATTATATACCCCAAAAAATCACCCCAAGCCCGAGGACAATTAATATAATATGGGGGTTCATGGATTCCTTTTGAGTTTTAGGGTGCCCACGCTGCCATGCAGGCATCTATGTGTTCCAGCTGCATCAGCAGCCTGGACCCCCAGATTGGGCCTCAGCTGGGTTCTTCAGTGCCGGGAGGTCCTTCTTCAGGCTAGAGAACAAGCGTAGATAACGCAATCCAAAGCCCAACGGGTATTGCCTCAGACTGGGTGAATTAGCGCTGTTCCAACTTTAGACACACTCGAGATGGAATATTTATAATAAATTCCCAAGTCATGCATCAATAAAAAATGTGTTGCTAAATGCTACCTATTTGCGCAGAGTGCTTCAACTTGAGTCTTTTCCCGACAAAACGTGGTTTACCAGAGGAGTCCCGGTAGTGCTTCACCAACAATCCCTTTGCATTGCGCCGCTTGCGCGTTGACAGTTTGAGCTGGTCCGTTTTGAAACGCCAAATCCTCTTCGTACTGGAAAAAATCACCGTCCTCTTAGGATATTTGGACCCCAGGAGCCTCATCCAAAAAGAGACACGCCATACCTCAAATCGATGGCTTCGAATGGACCGGAGAAATTTAGGGGTACCCGGAATACATATTTATATTTATATATTAGGGCCTAAAAATATTATAGTGTATCAACTTGTTAGGTTATTGTTGTATAATGTAACCACATGTTGGAAAGAACATATCGTCCAAGAATCTCGGATGACCTCAAGAAGTTGGCAGAACCGTGGGTGGCGGAACATAAGGCTTGTAGCTGGCTGTTCTAAAGTAAAATGACCCTGGTGGGCCAAGATCAGGTAAATCAGGAGGCACATCCTGGCCAGGGATTCATCCATCAACAACCTATACTTTTTGGGAAAGATATGTCAGAAAAAACGAACTTAACATCACCTGGCCTTGCTGTAAGAAGGTTTCCAAGGGCCACCGACTTAACAGAGATATCCCCTAATGGGGCCAGCCAAGTGCGGGCAGTCACTGACCGTGACAGCAGCACCCACGACGAACAAGGCAGCCCGAAGTGGACGATGACCTTCTTCTTGCAACGGAGTACACTGAGCATGAGGAGCCTCAGCAGCAAGGGGCTTGAGAGACAGATTTATATACTCGTAACTCAAAGTAGATGGCTCAGAATCTTGAGTTGCGCCAATGCGGGGGATAGATGGCTCAACTCCCATTCAAAACAGGTGAGCCATCTATGTCCCTAAAAATGACATATTTTTTGCAATCTTCTGCGCCGGCTTCCCCCCATATTTTTTCTCAACATCAAGCTGCCTTTTTGGGACATAGATGGCGCAACTCCCACTCATTCGCTAAAATCAGGCTGGGCACAACAGAGTCCCAATATAGCTTCCGAATGGCCCAGCATAAGCCCGAAATCGACCCAAAATTCAACCTCAACCGAACCATCCTTCCGTTGGGGTTGAAATTTTAGGCCCGAAAGCCGCCAGCAGAGCCCCAAATGACCCGACGAAGGCCCAACATAGCCCTAAAATGGCCCAACAGAGGCCCAACATAACCTCCAAATGGCCCAACATAAGCCCGAAACCGACCCAAAAAAAAAAACCAACCGAAAAATTTTCGGTTGGGGGTATTTTTTTCGGCCCGAAAGCCGCCAGCAGAGCCCCAAATGACCCAACAAAGGCCCAACATAGCCCTAAAATGGCCCAACAGAGGCCCAACATAGCCTCCAAATGGCCCAGCATAAGCCCGAAACCAAACCAAAATTCAACCTCAACGGAACCACGCGTCCGTTGGGGTTTAAATTTTACCCCCGAAAGCTGCCAACAGAACCCCAAATGGCCCAACATAGCCTTAAAATGACCCAACAAAGGCCCAACATAGCGGTGGTTTTGCCTCCTGTCTTGGGAATTGGCGGAACTCGTTTTATGTTCCAGCTAAAATAGCGCCGTTTTCTTTCTCACCGCGCGGTGCCATCTTGTGGGTATTTTGGTTTTTGAGTTGAGCCATCTACTTTGAGATTCTTGTATATACAAAGGTTTTCAAACATATATGTATATACGTATTATATAATATATAAACGATACAATAACAATATATATATATAAAAGAAACACACACACACACTATCTATAATATATATATACACTCCTGTGTCAGTAAACTGCCACTTTCAAGTGAGGAACGCCATTCCTGCAGGTGTTGCCATATCAAGGGGATTGGTTTGACACGGAAGTCCTCTTTTCTGGGCATACGGTTCCCAATCCAAGACGTCAAACGCCCCCACTTGGAGGCCATCTCCGAACCTCAAGCAACGGCTCAAGAGTGCCTCGCCACAACAAATCTCCAGAGCATCCCAGACCTGACAAATGCAGTGGAAAGGGATGTGACATACCATGTGTAAATTTTGATTTCCACCCTTTGGGGTTTCATTTCAGTCCTGTTTTTTTTTGGGGGTATAACGGCAACTTGAAAGCGTGGACCCACTGGGGTGCAATATGGTGCAATTAAAAAACGATTTGCAGAGCAGGGACTTCATGTGGAATTTAAACACCGTTTCTTTGGGTAGATTTATTTGGAATATCTTGGGTGGTGGCTTGTGCAGATGGCCAATGATAATTTCATTAGATAGATATAGATAGATAGATAGATAGATAGGTAGATATATATATATAGGAGTGTCCACACCAGAACCGGCCTCATCGAGCTGCACGTTGCGAGTATAGAAGAGGATCAGGAGGCACAGTAGCAAAACCTGTGATGCAAACAGAATCATAACATGCGTGGGTTATAAAGTTAGGGTGTGTGTGTGGCAAATCCCTTATTATAGTCATGGTTTCCTGTTGTATCTTCCTTGGAATCCCTTTGACAACCTTACATTGGATATCGAAATATAATATGATATGGGTATGTTATGTCTCAAAATGAGGTGCCCTTTCCTCCTCTTTAAAGAAAACATTGTGGGGGACAAAACCATCCCCAAACAATACCCCTGGCAGGGATAATTTTTTGGGGCCAAAAAGGGCACCTCATTTTGAGACATACCCATATCGAATTTGGATCCTTTGACAACATGTATGAAATTAAACTAAGACAGGCAGGAGTGATGCAGTTAAGAAACACCAGGGGCACGAAGTTCCAGTAGCCGCCGGATAAAATGCTGCCTCCTCCCTAGAAGGTCCATAGCTATATGTTGGAATCTCTCCCAAGCTATTTGTGAGGACACCTTTTTGATAACGAAAAGGTTTCAAGGCTGCGGCATATACCTCCACCCGGCTGTTCCCAGAAACTCTTCAGCCAAGATGTCCAGCAACAGCAACAAAAACAGTTTTAGACCTCCCAATGGCATTCACTTAGGTGAAGGGGTGGGAAGCGCACCTGGACTTTTCCGCTTGGGGCCCAGATGCCGGAGCCTCCAAGCATTGCTCATCAGGATAGCAGAAGCCTGCAAGCGGCAGAGGCGACCACCAAAGGTTGAAGTATATCCGATAAATTTAGGTTTAATGTTGAGAAAAAAAGGTTGAACCTAAACTTTGGAAAAGGGGTGTTTGTCCGCAAGAAAGACAGGGTCATGGACTTCCTGCAATGTCAACACCAAGGTACTACATGCATGGCATAGCCCCGAAAGAATTACTTATATATATATATAATATTTTATGTTGCACCTTTCGTGGGATGAATGCCCCTTGACTTCCCGAAAGAACAACTGTGACTTGAACAGTGGAAAAAATTGGCCCCGTTTTTCCGCACACCTTTGCTGCATGGCTGTCAACGCAGGAATCGCACCCTAAACTGCTCACCCTTTGGTGAGTAAGTGTATCATATGAGAACAGTCCCAGGTCATAGTTCTTGGGGACACACTTGCATATCACCATAGCAGTGATCAGCTCCGATCCCGCATTTTCAAAAGTCACGTGTGGCCGCCCAAGCAATTTCAAATGCATGCGCCGTAAAAATGCTTTTGCAATATAACATGGTAAAGAACAGTTTGGCAAGGATCACCCTGCCTTTGGCCCACGTGCGCCACATCTCCCAACCATGTCTATACATCGCGTTGCCTTTGACCATTAGCTGCGCGTCCCGCCCGATTGAATCAAAATACAAACATGGGCCCAATGTCATGTTAACTTTCTTAAGATAACATGCGGGGGAACAAGCAGCCCAATATATACTTTGAAATCTAACTGGAGCGGCTGCATTTGTGGGGTCTATATCCCGGTCGTTTGCAAGTTTTGCACCCTAGTGCTGCAAACCTGCACCGGCCACATCCAAAACGGCGACCTGATCCAATCCCCTCGCCATCTGGCTGAGGCTTGTCATCAGTCTGGTCATCAACGGCTGGCTTCTTCGATGCACGAGGCTTCCTTTTGGGAGCCGTGCTCTTGGGCTGGCGTGGCTGGGATTTCATGGCCTTCATACTGGTTTTTGCTTTCATGGCCGGCTTCGGCTTTGCCTTGGCCTTGGGGGATTTCTTGGAAGCATACTTGGAATCGGGGTTCTTTTTGGGACGCCCCCTTTTCCCAGTACGGGAACCACGAGTTGAAGCCCTCAGATCAGCTTGCTCAGCTGGCGTCACACCATCATTGCCAGATTCATCAGGGTCCTCCTGCAAGGGAAATGGTTGAGAGGATTTGCCTCTGCCCCAATAATTAGATAATATTTTTTAATATGTATATATTATATATATATATATTATCATGTTATATTATTAAATTATATGGTATATTTTATTAAATATTATATTGTATATTAATATTATATATATATATATATTGATTTATTTATTCATTTTATATGATATATGTATATCATATATATATACTTATATGTATAATAAAACAATATATATATATATTAAATGACAATATATATATTGTACATATTTTTGAATATTTAAATATATGTGTTATATATTATATATATAGGCTTTGGAACCCACAAAAGAAGGAATAGCGTATGATGGGTATGGGATCTCTGGGATTATATGCCGTGGCCTTGTCGGGCATAGCATGCACGGAACGGTCGGCATTCCCATCACCACCATGGCCACCACCATGGCCATCCATATCCAAAGGCAATGTATCAACCTGCAGGAAAGTATGATTACATTCTGGTGATATTCTATTGGAAACACAGAAAAAGGATCCTTTTTCATGATTTTTGGGGGTTTATTTTTGGGCCCTTAAGTTTGGGGGTCAATTTTCAACCCCGGGGGGGCCTCATCCGGATTGACCCCAGGAGGGAATGCCGGCAGAATATCCGCCTTGATCTTCTCAGGTGAATCATCCACCAAGTCGACAACTTCACCTTAGACATTTTTAGAGCCGGGGATAAAATCAGGAGGGCTCAACCCATCTTATTCGAATCCCGGCAATCTAAACTTGTTTATTTTGAAAAGAGCTGGTTCTTATCAAATAAATAATCTTGTAAACAGCAGTGGTATTCCGGTATTGAATAGCAAACAGAATCAATGGAACTTATCCCCATGAGGTCCCTGCTACGTAAGACAGATTGCTTTGTTGAGATGTATGTATGCATGCCCGTATTTATAGTACAATATCAAAACAATATTTTGATAGCGTGTATACTATACAGTGCCTTTATATAGTTGGGGGTTGGACCTTGCAAATGAGAGACCTTCACCACGCGACTGCGACGTTTTGGACCTTATGGCTGTGAGGGGTTGGTTTTGTTTTGACTACCGGAAAGGAAATAAGTATGAGTTGAAACTCAAACATATATGCTGTTGGTGTAGCAAATGAGGGCCCTACGAGATCTGTTTCATGAGCGCGACAATCCGAAGGTTTTCTTGATGCAGTTGCTTGGTCTTGGGATCTCGCCCCGAACTCGACGATTTCTTCCCACTGTCACTTGAAATCAAACCTGCATCATACTTCTTGGTAGGCTTCATTGGGGTCTCCTCCTTGGGCAAAGACTTTGGATTTGGTGGTGATTTGGGTGGAGAGTTGCGACCTTTGGCCTTGGCTTTGTTACCTTTCTCTGTGGCCTTTTGCTTCAGCTTGTCCTTGATGACCTTCTTCGGGGATGGTGTTGGCGTAGGAGACTTGCTAGGCGAAACCTTCATAGGGGAAGCCTTGGTGACCTTCTCGGGGGTGCATTTCTTTGTTGGCGAAACCTTGGTGACCTTCTGTTTCTTCTTTGGCGAAACCTTCTTGGACTTGCATGGTGGTTCATCATCCATCTCATCATCATCATAGTCAGCCTCAACTACCTTCTTGATCTTCTTGTCACCTTTGGGCGGGGAATCCTCCGCAACATCTTCCCACCCACCCTTTGATTTCGAACGGGTAGGAGGAGCGGTCTCTTTCAACTCCGCAATCTTCTCGAACAACTTCTTCACGCCCTCGTCCTAAGCACAAGGGCGGCTACCCGGGGATATGTGGTAGAGGGGCTTTTGTCTTTCAAACAAGAAAAATTAAAATCACCATTTCGGGAAAACCTGTTTTTGATCTCAGTGGACGCTTAATAAACACGAAAAAACAATCTTCAAAACTCAAACCTTTGAACTTTGAACCGTATATATCATGTTGTTGAGCTAAGTAACCCGGGGGGTTTGCTTCCTGCGGGCTGCATCTCTCTGCCGACGGCACGCGAATGTCATCAGGCGTCTCAGGTTCCAAGCAACGCAGTAGTTTTCCCTTCCCTCCGGGACGTATCCAAGTTCATCATGCAAGGCCCCAACCTGAGGGTAAACATTGGAATGGATATGCCACCAGCACAAAAAGAAAACGTTATTTGTGTTCAACATTACCCCTGTGAATCTAAATTTGAAGATTTTTTAAAAAACCAGGCCTGTTTGGTTAGAACTTCAACAGGTTGGCTCTGCAAACCGTACTCGTCAAGAATGGAGAGCAAAGCTTGGTGATTCGCTTGGAGGGCTTTTGTGCATATGATCAATTCGCCATCTTCAGACTGCTGCAGCCTGACCCATTCCCTCCCCTTACGGATCCTGCTGCGGATGACTGGCAGCTTCTCCCACTTGCGCGCAAGCCGGTTCCGCTTAACCACATCCGCTTTGGTTTTCGCCATGGGTTTTGAACCCCAGAATTGAGCCGTAAAATCTGCAATGCTGACATGTCTGTCTATAGATGGCTACGTTTTCTTTTGGGCCATTTCTTTTCTTTCAGGGGGACCCTTGGTAAGCCAACACCTGTTGGATTGGTCACTGAATTGACCAACCCATACACCGGAAGTCCCCGCCTTGGCAGGAAAAGATCTTGCAGATCAATGCGCCAACCTGTCATTGACACGTTTCTTGCAGGATAAAGGGTTGGTGGGTGAGAGGACGGCATAAAGATATATGAATGAGATATGTATGTCAGTGATCTTGGACATGCTGTTTATATTAGCATGGCTTAGGGCCCTATGGCCTCTTATCTTTGCAGAGGAAATCATACAGAACATCGGTAACAGCCCAATATCTATAGCCATAATCATAATCGAATATAAAACATATCATTTGCCTTCCAGAAATAGTCCAAAGCAAAATCGGTGGATCCCAAAGTTCGTATCCATAAGCTCACCAAAGAATGTGGAGATTGGATGGGGGTTTTATTTTTCAAAAACATGGGCATGGTATAGACCCCATGCATGGCTTTGGCCTCCGAGAAGTAGCCAATCGATAACCATGGATGAAGAGCTCCTGGACCACATCTCCTGGATGCGTTGGACAAGCTGGAAAATAAAGCAAACATGCATAGAGGGGTGGTCCAAATATACTTTTGGATACAGAACTGCCACACACGGTGGCTCATTGCAGCTGAAAAATCAACCATGTGTGGGGGAACTTGTTGTGAATGTAGCTTCCGTAACAGAGATTAAGCACCCCAAAATATGTGATTGTAGTGTCCCGTGTGTTTAATGGTGATGAAGTTGGTTTTCTCCCTGGCATCATTCCCTCCACACCGCCAGTGGGCTCTCTCCTCCAAGGCTTCTTCAGAAATGAGTCCGACATTGAGCACGGCGCTGGGTGTCAGCGACGGGGAAAGTGATATTAAATATGAATATGCCTGGTGTGATTCCCTGAATTTATTCGACAACATATATGTTAGAAAACAAAGGGTTTAATTTCCAATGTCTCTGTCCAAAAAACATGATAACTGTTGTTTGGATCCCTTTCCCCTTGATTTGGGATGATTTAGGTAGTATGGGGAAGATATATTCCCATTCAACTTTTACTTGGCTCATCAGGAAAAAGAAGGCTGCAGCAACGGGCCCCGGTGGACCCCAAGAAGATAGCTATAATCCCAGATTCAGCCAAAGTGGAAGTTTTTTACCCCAGTGGCAGAAATTTCTGCCACTTTCCCAAAGTGGCATGTTTTCTGAAAGTTGCCTATAATTATAGGCTACTTTGGCGCTCTAGGTATACATATTATACATACAATTCCCACACCCAATCCGTCCAATTGTATCCAAAAGACCTATTCACAGTTGCCCCCAAGACCCCAAAAAGGCGGAACATGGCCAAGAGCTCCCGGCTATGATGGTAACCCTTGGGTTGGTGATTTACCCGGCGCAATTTCTGGTGATAAAAAAAGGTCCGACGTACGTGCCCTTTTTGTGAAATATCTCTAAGTGTCTCACGATGTGGGCTTAGTCCGGCTATTCATGTTTTTCTGGTTCGGACTCAGACCCTACAACTCTAAATTACCATATGGGTTTGTCTGAAAAGAAGGTCCTCAAAAATCCAACAGTTTGTTATCATGTTCCCCCATTAAAGTCGCCAATTGCAGGGTAAATCCAATATTTTTCAGACACACAAACATAAATGATCATCATTATCCATTAGTTAGATCCATGTGGTTGTTGGCAAAATCACCATGTTTCAACACGTTTGATGTTTTTTTATCCGCCATATCAACCTAGTACATCCCAGATGTTCATTGTTGGATTCACGTGTTCAACATGTTCGATGGTATCTCGGTAAATTACGACTTGCAACAATTCACTAACCTGAAATAAGTTGTTTTTCCGGTGGGGTCACTATAATCCAATCCCCTAATATTCAACACCCCCTTAGATGGTCCCAAATATGTGATGTCATTCCTTATTGAAGCATTGTTTCTATCAAGGGTGCTTAATTTGAACGGGGGAAGGGAATTATAAGATTAATCATCCACGACTTATCCGTTAATCATCCACTGTTGTTGGCGTATACCACAAATTATCAATCACCATGATTATTCTGGTTGGTGGTTTCAACCCCTTCTGAAAAATATTAGTCAGTTGGGATGATTATTCCCAATATATGGAACAATAATCCAAATGTTCCAAACCACCAACCAGTTATTAATTGCATACGTAGTATTATCAACCATATCAACCTAGAAAAACATGATATTAACTACCCAGTAACTTCTTGATATTCATGCTTAAACATCCACGTTTTCACCATGTGGGCGATGAGTTTTCATGCTCTGATCCCCACTTCCATCATGATTAGAACCATTATTAACCAACTAGAGGAGTTGTTATTAACCATTATATACCATTATTAGCCATCATTAACCACTACTAACCGTGATTACTCATTATTGACCACTATTGTATAGCCATTATTAACCAATATCAACCATTATTTATACCACTATTTATACCATTATTTAACCATTATGTATGATTTATACCACTATTAATCACTATTAACCACTATGAACCATTACTAACCCCTATTAACAATGCTTAACCATTATTGACCACTATTATATAGCCATTATTAACCACTATTAACCATTATTTATTAGCCATTAATCACGATGAGTTTCGACTCCATCCCAGCGTCTGTTTCGAATCCCCAGGGCCAGTAGGAAGCCCACGGAGGGCCCAGACATCTGCACCGCGTAGACGGCGCTGGTGGCGATGCCCCGCTGCGAGGCCGGGAACCACAGCGCCGCAAGGGCGGACGGCGTCACGCAGTTCATGGGCCCCGCTGCGCCGTTCAAGGCTTGCCTGAAGCCCCGGATGGCGGAGTAGGTGGAGGAAGTGGTATGTATGGATGGATGGATGGATGGATGCATGCATGTATGTGTGTATATAAAACATAATATAATATAATATAATATAATGTATAATATAATGTATAATATAATGTATAATATAATGTATAATATAATGTATAATATAATGTATAATATAATGTATAATATAATGTATAATATAATGTATAATATAATGTATAATATAATATAATGTATAATATAATATAATATAATATAATGTATTAATAAATTATAATATAATATAATATAATATAATTTTATATTATATAATATAATATACTGTGTATATATAATATAATATACATATGTGTATATATATATTATAATATACATATATATATATGTATGTATAGATATATATATAGGGTTTTCCATAAATGGTGATAATGACCCCAATAGCTGGGATGGTTTATATAATGTTTAATGGAAAATCCTAGAAACATGGATGATTTAAGGGTACTCCTATTTTAGGAAACCTGAATATAGTTAGATATAGGTTTAATGTTAAGTTCATAATAAGTAGCCCGAATGAATAATTAATTAATCAACACCCACACTCCAAAAAAAACAAATGGCAACACTACTTTGGGTTGGTCCCTCCCTACTAATAAACATGTGCGACATCCTCTATTAAACAACACCCTGCTCAGAAATCCTAATGTTGTGGTAGTCAGGATATATTGTATATAGAGGTGCGGTCAAATCTCTGTATACTACTTATGTAAGGAGAGTTCTCTGGTGTCTGGAAAATGCAGAAAACACTGTGTAGATCTGTGTAGCGATAGGGCCCCCAAAAGCGATACCTATAATTGTGCATGATGTCCACATCTGAAGTTGTTTTGCACAAAGTTACGTACATGTAAGAGGCTAAATTAGCGATACCCCTAGCGATACCTTGGCAATACCCATTTGTTCAAAAAGTAGCCCCAGACCAGACCACAAATAGATTCGCCTTTCCTTTTTCCTTTCCTCTTTTTCCCTTCCTCTGCCTTTACTCCTTTCCTTTTCTTTCCCTTTCCTCTTCCCTTCCTTTTCTTTTTCTTTTCCATGCCTTTTCCTTGCCTCTTCATTTCCCGTCCTCTTCTTCTCCTCTTCCTTTCCTATTCTTTTCCTCTTCCCAATCCTTTTCCATTCCTCTTCCCAATCCTTTTACTTTCCTCTTCCTTTCCTTTTCTTTTCCTCTTCCAAATCATTTTCCTTTCCTTTTCCTTTCCTTTTCCTTTCCTTTTCCTTTCCCTTTTCCCTTCCCTTTCCCGTTGCCTTTTTCTTTTCCCTTTCCTTTTCCTTTCCTCTTCCGTTCCTCTTCCTTGCATCTTTTTGCAAAACCATGGATAGCGAAAGGGCGTCCATGCCCAATCTCACCTTCTCACCCCATTGGGAGGGAGGTTGCCAGTGAAAAGAGAAATCTCAACCCATTGGCGGCAGGTCAATTGTTCTTGTTTTTTTCTAATGTATGACGAGTTTTTTAATTGGGGGGACTCTTGCCTTCTAGGGGGGGTTACCTTGGCATTATATATGAAGTGGTACATGGAATCTAGCCAGTTAGTGACTCGGTTCACCCAAATAAGTGGGAGTATTTCATGTGCAGTTGGTGGGTCAAAACTTCGGTTTGTCTGAAATGCTTGAAACAATCAGTCAAAATGAACATATTAACCAACCAAAAAAGAAGAGATAGTGGATACGGGCTTCCCGCGCCCAACATCTACCTGTGGTTCACTTGGTGAGTCAAATCAAGCAAAGCTGGTTGGTGGCTTGCCCCCCCCGGAAAACATGAGTAAGGATCATCATCGCATTTCGAGGGTTAAAAAAAAAGTATCAAAAACGCCGGACCAGAAAAAAAAGCGGAGATTGAGGCAGCAATGAGGAGTCGACCCATGACATATCTGGATAAAACTAGAAACAAGGGGTTTGTCAAGTAACATACACCAGGTGTTGATAGATTATGTATGTATATATATATATATATATTATACCAGGTGTTGATAGATTGATAGATTACATATATAATTGTATCCAACGCTGCCGTTATTGTCAGCTTGCGACTATCGCAGCGCATCGATGGCTAGCCATGAACACTGTGAAAGAAACATCAAAAGGCGGTGGTACGGTGGATACGGTGGTACGGTGCACCACAAAATCATTGAATTCACTCAATTTAATGGTGGTTTAATGGGATATTTAATGGTGGTTTAATAGGATCTAATGGGAATCTCAATGGATAACTGGTTGGTGGTATACCTACCCCTCTGAAAAATCTGAGTTCGTCAGTTGGGATTATTCCCAATATATGGAAAATTAAAACTCATGTTCCAAACCACCAACCAGATCAGCGACTTCTGCTTTCCTAAGGGGAAAAAAGTCAACAACGTTTCCAAAAACGCGAAGACACCCCAAGACTCCCAACACAAAAGAACCATCTCAGCCATCTCTAATGGGGTTTAGGGCTAAAATTTTGGCATCGCCAAAACGGGTGGATTTCTGAGCCTAAACATGTAGCATTTGTAGTTTTCAGGCTCTTGGATTTTTGGGTATCAAAAATTGTATCAATTTAACAGCATTGGTCAAATATGGGAGGTTAAATCATCAACTAGACGGTTGATTCCTGCTAAATCACTGGAAATCCACTAAAGTCAGAAAAAATTGTCAGAAAACAAAAAACCCTTCGCAAAATACCAATGGGATCATCGTAAGAAAACAAAAAAAACTTTCTGAAGTAATTTTCAGTCCACCCTCCATGCACCAAAGCGTGCGTGAAACCCGATGCTGGCGCCAGTCCTATGACATTGGGCACCAGTCGCAGACAGAGTCCCAAGGCCGTGAGAGCGGCACCGGAAAGGATCACGCCCCAAAGGTTTCCTGGATTTCTTGCAAAATATCGCGATGGTATGAGGTGGACTAGGATTTATTCTAGAGTTTATATAAATACATAATTAATGGGGGTTAGAAATCAACAAACCTAACTGGGGGGAACCATCTTGTATGGTCTGGTCATGAAAGCTATGCAAGCAGAATTGGATGAAGGATGATGAAGGGAACATGTGCAGGCAAGGCCTATATTTCCTGGGCAAAGATCATGATTTTTTGCGTCTTCAAATATCGTCAAATATATTCCCAATTCCCTTCTGAACCAATCCTAGCTACACATCTCGAAAACTGACCTTAGAGTAGTTGATCTGGGGTGGTACAGCTCCCAGAAATGTTTGCGTCAGGTCAGCTTGAATACTGCAAGAAACAGCACCACTGCTTGTCGAAGATTGTAGATGGATAATATCAGAATAAACAAACAATAAACAATGATGGATGTGATATTAGTGATGGATGTTAGTTTACATATTGGATGAATGATGGACGTTAGTAACAAGCCATGTTTCTTTAAAACAAAATTACACGAAAACACACCGAGTCTCCAGCTTGTTTGGCCACCAGGTAGCCAACCACTGGTGCCACAGGCAAGTACCTTGCACACCAACGAGAGCCGCTGCGCTAGGGCATTGACCATGACATGTGATGTCTAAAAAGACTCTTCTTATGACCTAGACCCTCAGTATCCCTCAGTGTATACCAATAAATAGTTTACCGCAAACATAGGAAAATATGGTCAATTGAGTGTCTTGGTACTATTCTGGCCATACCAGTATGTTTGGCAAGCAATCGACATATATATATACATACACGTATATAATCATATAGATTATCTATAAAATGATTCTTTTAGTAAACGTGTAGATGCTGTAGAGAAACAGCAGCAAAAACGCATGGACATATGTGTTGACGTTCGTTGGCAACTGATTCCTGCTGAGGCTGAGGAAGTATCAGTCGTTAACATCTCAGCCGAGAGGCATGATGGGACCCCAATTCAGCAGCAGATCGATGGATGCCTTTGGGTTCTCAAAGCCATAATACTCTGCCGCGATCCGCGGGGAAGCGCTGTAGGTGACCCAGCCCACGCATTGCATCAGACCCAACCAGAACATGCACAAAAGCCTCACCGGGTATCCAAAGGTGGTGAGGGTAGCATGACTTGGTTGGCACGGACAATCTTCGATACCCTGCCATTGGCAGGGTGTTTTAGCTGCGTAGATTCAGGAAAAAACATTCATACATATTCCTATTTATGGCCGCACGAATTATGGTCTTGTAACTACTCGGCTTTCAGCTTTCCTCACTTTCACTGACCTACTTCTATATGTGCACTCCACTCGCTGATGCTGCAAAAACGTACAGGAATTTGTGCAGCACAGTTCAATATCGTGTAACATCTTGATACATTGAATGTACCCTCTGGTAAACTAACATAGCCCTGGAAAATCACCATTTTTAATGGGAAAACTCACTATAAAAGGTCATTTTCAATAGCTATGTTAAATTACCAGAGACCAGTCACTGGATGTCACTGGCAGAGCAGGCCACGTACCAGCCATCTAGAGATGGCCAGCGCAGGCGTTTTGCTGGGTCATTTAGTAAGAACTTATACCCAGTAGGAACTTATTCCCAATATATGGAAAGTCATAATCCATTCTTGTTCCAAACCACCAATCAGATATATGACTACAATTCCAATGATGAATTGGGTATGACATACCCCACTTAGATTCATGGAAAGGCCAGTGAAGGATCTTCATGGAATCTGCAGAACCCCAAAGGCCAATAAAGGCCAGTGGCCGCTGGTGAAAACAACATGACCGGAATGCTTCCACGCTTGAAATTTACCCTCTGGTAAGAAATGGCCATTTATAGTGGATTTACCCATTTAAAATGGTGATTTTCCATAGTTATGTTAGTTTACCAGAGGGTAACATGTCTGAAAAAGGTGTTTGTTTGTTTTTTTTTTCCGTGCAAGAGTGGCTTTGTCTCAACACTTTCGGGAAAAAATGCCAAATTCGGTGGCTTATCATCAAGTTTCCTATGAAATCTATGAACACGTGAATGATTTGGGGGTGCAAACCCAGGTGGAAACAAACGCAGGTTGGTGGCATCAGTTTTCGCTCCAAGTAGCACCAACCATCGCCTCCCTTCCACTCCATCGGTGCTCATGGCAACGGGATGAGGTCTCGAGGAAAGGGAAGCAACAAGACCAGCTTCCAAGTTCACATGTTCCTGTGTTCCTGTGTTGTTGTTGTTGTTGTTGTGGTTGTGGTTGTGGTTGTTGTTGTTCCTGTGTTGTTGTTGTTGTTGTGGTTGTGGTTGTGGTTGTGGTTGTGGTTGTGGTTGTTGTTGTTCCTGTGTTGTTGGTGTTGTTGTTGTTGTTGTGGTTGTGGTTGTGGTTGTTGTTGTTGTGGTTGTGGTTGTGGTTGTTGTTGTGGTTGTGGTTGTTGTTGTTGTTGTTGTTGTGGTTGTGGTTGTGGTTGTTGTTGTTCCTGTGTTGTTGTTGTTGTTGTTGTTGTTGTGGTTGTGGTTGTGGTTGTTGTTGTTGTGGTTGTGGTTGTGGTTGTTGTTTGTTGGTTTGTTGTTGTTGTTGTGGTGGTGTTGTGTTTTTGGTTGTGGTTGTTGTGTGGTTTTTGGTGTGGTTGTTTGTTGTTGTTTGTTTGCTTTGTGGTTTGTGGTTTGTGTTGTTGTTTGGTTTGGTGTGTTTGGTCTGGTGTGGTTGTGTTGTTGTGGTTGTGGTTTGGTTGTGGTTTTGTTGTGTTGTTGTCGGTTGTGTTGTGGTATGTGGTTGTTGTGGTTTGTGGTTGTGGTTGTTTGTGGTTGTGTTGTTGTTTGGTTGTTTGTTTGGGTTTGTTTGGTTGTGGTTGTTGGTGGTGGTCAGGTTGTGGTTGTTGTTGTGTGGTTGTGGTTGTGGTTGTGGTTGTTGTTGTTGTTGTGGTTGTGGTTGTGGTTGTTGTTGTTGTTGTTGTTGTTTGTTGGTTGTTGGTTGTGGTTGTGGTTGTGGTTGTTGTTGTTGTTGTGGTTGTGGTTGTGGTTGTGGTTGTTGTTGTTGTTGTGGTTGTGGTTGTGGTTGTTGTTGTTGTTGTTGTTTTAATATTTGGAGGTTTCCAAAAATGAGGTCCCCCTAAATCATCCATTGATGGATATTCCATTATAAACCATCCATTTATATGAAGCTCACGAACTTTGCCTACTGTGCAAAGATGTAGCCCAGCTTGTGAATATCTGGTGGGCGATGCTTGGAATCACAACAAGGCCTGGCTTCCAAACTGTGGCACCCGAGGTCCGTTCCAAATGATCGCTACCTGGTCCTGGTTGATACCCACAACGCAAATGGCCAGCCGGGGCAAGTCGTGAAACCCGCTGGTGCTGATACATGTTCGTGCTGCGAGCTCCCCTGGTTGAGTATATAAACTGCATCAACCTTGGAACAAAGGCGGTACTGCCGGGTGCAGCGCGCTTGGGGCTACAAATGGATGTATAGCCAAAGTTATTAGAGCTAGATCCCAACTCCCAACTTGTCCATTTAGAAGCTCAACATGAACCAACCAATCTCAAAAAACATCTTCAATGAGAACACCTTCGACCGTGATCAAAGACTAGACGTCTGACAAAAATCTTCATTGCTGAGATTGGTAGTGGGTTAAAACCAACGACACCATGACGCCCAAAAACGGTAGTGAAGATCTACCAAACTAGGGGAATCCGTGCATTTCTTGATATCGTTGCTATTCTTCATAATCTCTCTCTCTCTATGTGTATATATATATATATGCTACCTACGAATTGGAAACAGGGGCACTTAGCAGACTTAGCACATCACTACAACATGGGTAGCACAAGTTGGTTCAGTAGCACTCCTTAAAATGGAAGTTTCAATTTGCAAAACAGAAATCAACACGAACAACCTCCAAGAGCTTACATGATCTTACCTTATGTTCACCAAACCACCGTTAATTCTTATTTTTTTAAAACTTGAAAAAAAGCGCGAAAAATGCAAAAAAATGGAAAAACCAAAAAGCAAATCAGCAAAATCCAAAAAAACACAAAAGCAAAATAAAAGGGAAAAAACATGGAAAAAAAAGGAAAGACAAAAAGGGGAAAAATGGGAAAAAAATGGACTTGTCCATTTGCATTTTTTTTGCATTTTTTTGGCTTTTTCGATTTGCTTTTTGTTTGCTTTTTTTTTGCTTTTTTCCAGGCAAAAAGCAAAAAAAAGCCAAAAAAAAGCAAATCGAAAAAGAAAAAAAAAAGCAACAAAAATGCAAATGGACAAGTCCATTTTTTTCCCATTTTTTCACCCTTTTTGACGTTCCTTTGTTTTCCCATTTATTTTGCTTCCTGTTTTTTTCGGTTTTGAAGTTTTGCTTTTTGATTTTCCATGTGTTTTCCTTTTTTTTTGCTTTTTTTTCAAGTTTAAAAAACATTAGAACTAAGGGGAGAGGTGAACATAAATCTTACCATGTCCTAACGTCGAAGAACGGTATCATCACATCCCTGTCCCAACAGGAACTCTTTTCTGGTTGGTGGTTTTAATTTAACCATCTTGAAAAATATGAGTTCGTCATAGTTCGTCAATGGGAAGGATTGTCCATGATTATCCCAATTTATCCCATATATTATGGAACATACAATTCATGTTTGAAACCACCAACCTTTCGCAACCAGTTTTTCGCTATGTTTCCACAGTGTCTGGTGTTCCTCCCGAAAGGTCCCGGTGGTGTTCACCGGGAAACGCGTGGGGAAACGGAGACGAAACGACGGGCACCGTCCCCAGAAAGGTGAGATCTCATGACTTGCCGCAACCTGCGCAACGTGGAGCCCCACGGGACGCCATAAAGGACGCCCTGGGACGCCTCTCAACAAAATGAGATATAAACGGTATACGTTTTACCTGTATATTATATATATATATATATGTGATTATATATGTACATATTATATATATCATATTATCTCATATGATCAGATACTATATCGGATATTATCTAATATCTAATTGCCTGTATTTGAAGCCAGTAACCAGGACCTGCATTTGAAGCCATTAACCAGGTCTAGCCCCTATGAGAATCCTAGGATTCCAAACCAGCCTGAACAAATGATCATTGGTAACATGGGCATCACAATAATGAACCCAACCATTGACTGGTTGGTGGTTTCAACCCCTTTGAAGCATATTAGTCAGTTGGGATGATGACATTCCCAATTTTTCAATATATGGAAAGTCATAAAATTCATGTTCCAAACCACCAACCAGATTGATGTCTATGGAGGTCTATGCCAACACTACACGGAGAAAGGTGCCTATCGACGCCGACACCTGTGTAAAGGTAGTCTTAATCCTGCCCCGTCCTGCCTACACCACCTACACAATTAGGCAAGACATCTGGCACAAAATGCCTGGCCTACGCCGTGTCTTAATGAGTTCCTGTTTTGTATAATCCTATACTACTCAAAGATCTCTGCTGAATTGGTCGCTTAATAACTGCATCACCGGTCCCTGGACCTTGAACGACGCAAATTGTTGTTTTTGGATACACACTTTGTTGGTGCATCAAACATCATTCAAATCCTCCAGTTTCTGTTTGTCAAAGCAGCGGAGCGGATGCAGCACAAGCGCTGGCCTCTTGTTCTTTAACCACGTCGGATAATGTTCTGCGTGTGCGTGGTGTACCTGAACAGGGAATAGCCCGGCAGAGCGGTGTCGGCGTGGGGTCAGGGACTACCCTCTGGTCATCAAACATACCAACTCACCTGAGAATGGGGTTGATAATTGGCGAAATAAGGAGGTAACATCAATGTTCCACCCCTTGTGGCAATCATTTACCTACAGAACAATAGCTTAGAGCAACCCTAATAATTGCATATAATTGCCATGACGATTTGATGACTGCAAAATCAATGAAGGTCTAGAAATGTCTAGAAGCTAGCAACTCTTGTAGCCATGCAATATGCCATATGGTCACTAGATGTCACTAGAGGTCACCGATCTCAGCCAGGCTGCGCCAAAGCACTCATCCATAGATGTCAGGTGCCGGATAGAAAAAATGTTTTACAAGGACACAATTCGGTCACAAAAGAGCGACCGCAACCCTTGGATCATGTCCTGCATAGACTAAGATCTACTGTTCCAAGGTCCTGTTTCAGTTTCTCCTCTCATCACCCCAGGGCCACATGTTGTCTTGATGCTTCGTCATGGCACACGTCCTCAAGCGAGGATGAGGATGAAATGAAGTCGAGGTGAATCATTCTATGGTTATACATTTCGAATAAATAACTCTATTTCAATGATATCAAATTGATACTTCTTCCATGTCCATTTTGAACATTTTTGAACTCTGGATCCTATGGTTTCGAAGAAATGTAGGCCAGAAAATGAGCAACATGGTGTTTGTCCTGGAGTTTCTCCGGCTACCCATGGGTGAATGAAGACTAAAACAACGGCAGAGGCAGCCTCTGTTCACTTGACCAACGATGGACTTATTTGTGCTATTTCCATATTTTAGTTGGTCAACGAATCCATTCACCACCCACAAAACAATAGATTGGGTAGAACGATACCCAAACAGTCACAAAATTGGCAAAGGAGTTTTATCCTTGAGTCATAATATACATGATATATATATATATATTATATATAATGTATATATATATATTATGTATATATATACCGGGTATGTTGATCTTAACTATATTACATACATACAGACACAATGTATACTGACACTTAAACATCTACTCCGACCACCATCAACCACTGGTGGCTTCAAGCCTCCAAGTAGGAAAGTCATTAGGGATCATCATGATCATCATACCATTTCCATGGTAAAAAAAAAAAAACATGTTTGAAACCACCCACCAGATTTAACCAGATGATCATGTGCTACATCCCCACTATATATATATATTCCCATTCTATCTCAAATTTAGATGTTTGGTAAAATCCCCATGAAGTCCCAATTTTATATCTCAATGGATTGTTTTTTTGTGGCCATCTGTTTAGCGGTTTTTCCCATGGTTTTTTACCATGGAAATATGGAGGTGTCCGACTGATTTCCTCATATGGACATGTTTCCTGAAGAAAAAGATGGATAAATCCCCAGGAAAGATCGAAATTCATGGTTAATTTAAGAATATGTCTAAGGATTTCATAGGGATTTAACCATCTAAAGAAACAAAAAACTAGATTTCTAATGATTTCTATAAATTTATTGCAAATTTACCGGATGGTTTAAGTGATATGTTTCCGGCAAACTTCCCCCAGCAACCACACCCACGGTTTATCTCAGCGCAACAATTTGGGCCCCAGAACGATTTGGGATAGGAGACGCGAGTGGCGCCAGTGGCCAGGCGGGGTAGGACACCGTCATCACCTGCCATGTGACTTGGTACCCCATGGTACCCCCGTAGATCATCCATTTTTTCGATGTGAAAAATGTTTTTTTTCCATGAACTGAACTTCCTATCTGAACTTCCAAAGAACCATCCAAAAATTGAGGTATCTGATGAATTTGATGGACACCCATATGTATTAATACTATCTTTTTTAAACATTTACATAACGAACTGGAAAGATCCACCATTTTGTAGATGGGAAAATCCACGATTTCAAATGGGCCAAAAAAAAACCTTGGAAGATCTTGGAACTGTTGCCATATAGCCATGGCCATGAGGAAACACAAAAGAGACCCGACAGGTCACGGCAGATGTGAATGTTGATGTTTGAGTATTAACCATTATTCACAATCTTATTTATGAAAATCATTATTAACCATCTTATTTTAAAACATTCAACATATTAACATGGTGTTGTACCCATGAGAAAAAACCCTGCGGCGCTGGGGAACCCAGACTTAGGTGCCATCCAATCTCCATGTTGATGTTTGGTGGGTCTGAGTACAGCTCCCGCGGCGAATGAATGGACCTGCCAGACGCGGAAAAGCTGCGTTCGGTTTGAGTGTTGAGTGCAAATGGGGTTTCACTCCATGCGTTGAATCAGGTGATTGCACCTTCATTTGAATGCATCATCTATGTATACATATAACACACACACACGTATATATGTATATATATATATATTAATGTGAGTACTGTATCTGTTGGCCCATGATACTTCACAATCTTCACACGCTCGAGTTGCGATGGCTTCCCGCGTTCCCCGCTGCGTTCCCCGCGGGCTGGTTTTTCAGCAAGACTTGATGCTGTCTGTGTGTGGGTAACACAAACACACGTTACCGTTACAGTACTTAGGTACCATCTGGTTATGACTCACATAGCCATGGAAAATCGCTATTTTTAATGGGAAAACTCACTATTTCTAGTGGTTGATTACCATCTGGTTATGACTCACGGTTTGCCATGGAAAGATGCACCATTTTTAAGTTCGGTAAACCATCTATTTCTATGGGCCATCGATCCACCATGGCTATGTAACAAATAACCAGAGGGTACGTTTTCCATCTTTATCCAAAATTAAACATGAGAAACATCCGGATCAACCACAAGAACAATGCCACCACTGTAAATGGACTCTGTGGTAAATTTTCACATAGCATAACATGATGCTATGGATAGCTATGCCAATTGTTGTTGTTTTCCTGTAAGAAATGGTGATTTTACATAGCTATGTTCAAAAAAAACACAGCATTGCAACAATGCATCTCGCAGCTGATTTGACGTCTGTGAAGCTTCAGTGATACAATTTCTGCAACATTCTGCAACCGATTATATAAAACATGTTTAAACACCAGTCAAACTTGGACAATTATCCTTCTCTTCACAGCAAAATAGCTGGCGAAAGTCACCTTCCTCCCAGAGCCCATGATGCCTGATGTGCTTCAGCTTGTGCGTCGCCAGAATTTTGAAGCTGGTCTTCTGTTGGGCCTGAGGGCAAATCCGCTATACGCTCGCTTCAGGGCGGTGCCCCAGTTCCTTAGCTCAGGTGGTTTATATGAGCTCCATTAAGTCATTCAGTCTACCTATCTCATATATCTACCATAAATCCTATAGTCAACCTATGTCAACCTACTGAAGATTGATGATCGCTGCATCCTCGATATAATCCACTGTACATAAACTACATCAACTTATACTGCGGAGATCGCCCAACATCGTTGGTTGAAACGACAACAGAGATTGGTAATTGTGTTGTCCTAAGGATATTTTCATGTAAGCCTCCATTGCCATTGGTTACACCTTATATTTTGGCTGGTGAGCGACGCTGTGGTCGCCTCCATTTTGAGGGTCACTATGATGTACAGTACCATGGACCAGAGTTCTATCCCATCAAAACTCATTAACATACGACCATTCCCTAGTTACATGATGTTACTGATGTTTTTCGTCAAAAATCATTCCCTAGTTAAGATGTTACTTAAGATGATACAACTAACTACTACTAACTACTACTAACTACTACTAAGTATACTACTAAGTATACTACTAAGTATACTACTAAGTATACTACTAAGTATACTACTAAGTATACTACTAAGTATACTACTAAGTATACTACTAAGTATACTACTAAGTATACTACTAAGTATACTACTAAGTATACTACTAAGTATACTACTAAGTATACTACTAAGTATACTACTAAGTATACTACTAAGTATACTACTAAGTATACTACTAAGTATACTACTAAGTATACTACTAAGTATACTACTAACTACTAACTACTAACTAACTACTAACTAACTACTACTAACTACTACTAACTACTACTAACTACTACTAACTACTACTAACTACTACTAACTACTAAGTGATTTGGAAGCTCCCCGTGGAGTGATGGGAAAATTGCATCACCTTCCAGTGAACCGACCATCTCGGTGCCGCACCTGTGCTTTGGTCAAGTTCTCCGCCGTCCAGGACTCACGCCCCGGAAACCACTGAAGGCAGCGGGCGGTGAGGCCACCGCTGAGGAAGTGGGAATCTCTATGATGGAAACTTGTTGGATCCATGGACATATATATATTACATGTATGTATAATATAACATAATATAATATAATATAGTATGATATAATATATTATTATATATATATATATATATTATCTACATTAGAAATAGGGGAGCACAATGGGATGTAATGGGATACCAGGGAATATCACTATATTGCTATAGGGGGTTGTTCTAAATTCTTTTCCCCGAAAGTGGCTCTTGGGCCGGCCTTGGGCGAACCTTGCGCATACCTTGCGCGACCACAGTGCCGTGTGAGTTTTTTGGTTGCGCATGTTTTCGTGCGCCGTTTTTGTGTAGTTTCCTAGCGTGTATAGATATCCACCTACTTTCAAATGATTTTCCTTTTGAACCCAAAAAGAAAATCTGAGGATAAGTGAACTGTTCAATTCATGTGCGTGTCCGTGTGTATCTTCTTATCAGAAAATATATCTTCGTTTGTTTGCCTACTGTATATCCATTTGCATGTTTGTGTTTTTGACAGGATGGCATGGACTACCCGTCAACTTTGGACCTGAAGCTTGCACGTTTCTCTGGGCGAAGCTTGCGCAGATTTGGGCTGAAAAACTATCTCTTTGGCAGGGTTGTTACTCATTGTCAATTTATATACATTCTTGTTTACCTGCAGTGGGGGCTTGAGCACAGGACCTGCATGAGACTGCCAGTGCGATAAACAAGAATCAGATGCAGAATTGCCACGCAAGTTTACAAAAGCATATTGAAGAAGCAACATGACATACCACTATACAAATTCCCTTGCGCAAAACCTTGGGCCGGCCCTGCGCGAAACTTGCGCGATGCAGGTTTTACACTACCCAGAAGCTCTCAACAAACCCGCGCAAAACCTAAGTTTTAAGAGGAGGGTTTTAGAGCGACCCCCCCTTTTTTTGCATCTGGTTAATTACTCCCTGGTAATTTGCTACATAGCTATTGAACATGGTCATAGACATAGTTGATTTACCCAGCTACAAAATGGTGGATCTTTCCATAGTTATGTAAACGTTTACCAGAGGGTATGAAGGGATTCTGCCATAGAAATAGTTGATTTTCCCATTAAAAATTGCCATGTTCAAATAGAAAATCACCATTTTAAATGGGAAAATCCACTATTTCGACTGGGCCATGTTCAATAGCTATGTAACAAATCACCAGAGGCTATCGTTCACCAACTCTTAGAATCATCCCTTGGCGCCTCCTTGGGCTGTTCCTTTCGCATCTTCCACAGATCCTTGAGTGGAGTTGCAGGTATACTCTACCAATGAACATGAAATAACATTCAATGGATTGGTTTAAGGGAACATTTACAGGAAAACCCCATATTTACTGGGAAAATCTATGGTTTCTTGTATATTTTCCCTTAAACAAATCCATTGAAACATGCCATCTGGTTATTTAACAATTCCTGGGCATCATCCATGACCAGAAACTGTAGAATTGGGTAAGGCCCAAGATTGACAAAAATAATCAGTTTATACCTATGTTTTTTTTTTAAAAAATCTATATATATATACTGGTTGGTGGTTTTAACCATTTTAAAATATGAAAATCAATGGGAATGATTATCCCATATATGAAATGGAAAATAAAAAAAGTTCCAAACCACCAACCAGATAAATATATTGTGCCAAAAATCATGATAGGATGTTGACTATCACAACTATATTAGTTTGATACCCAGGTGTTCACATGGTGCCTCAAATCGTGCTTTCAACGCTGAGGGAGTAGTCAAGTGAACCCGCTGAGATTGTCATTTGCAGCAGTGTCGCGGGATATAAAAAACCTTGACTGAAACTGACGAGCCTTGTCTAAGTATCCAGAAGTGGGTGTTCTATGTTCTCAGAGTTAGCAACATGAATTGAAATTGGAGCCCCTGGCTGACCAAGAATATTCCTGTATACGTTTGAAATTATTGGTATATGCCCGTAGCATTCAAATTTTAGTGGGCCTATACCATCTGGTTATGACTAACGGTTCGCCATGGAAAGATCCAGCATTTCTAAGTTTGGTAAACCATCTATTTCTATGGGCCATCGATCCCCATGGCTATGTAACAAATAACCAGGGCCTATACACTTGCTCACCAAGTGAGGCTTTGGGCCTTCGTCAGAACTGAACCCACCCACGAAAACATGGATCCAAAATTCCTTCGCATCATCCGTGACCAGAAACTGTAGAATTGATGAATTGGGTGAGGCCCAAGATTGAAAAATAACCAGACCATACCTATTTATACCTATTTGTTTAGCTATACATATATATATATATATATATAATCATATATAATCCATATCATATCACTTCTAATTCAAGATCCATTTGCTGGTGAACTGTTCGTCCCATCCACTGCAAAACATCCCAAGTCCTCTCCCAATGGTAAACCAAGAGAGTTTGCTGTCGATAATTAGCCATTTAGCTCGAAGATATAACCGATGATCTTTTTGAATAGCTATCTTAGTTTACCACAGGGAAACTCATCAATCTATGCTGAACCACATGTTTTCCACTGGTTGGTGGTTGACCTACCCCTCTGAAAAATATGAAAGTCAATTGGAAGGATGACATCCCATATATTAATTATGGAAAATAACAAAATGTTTGAAACCACCATTTTCCATTTTCTGATGCGGCCAGCAGTAGTCTCGACTGCTGCCCGTCTTGGGCAAATCATGTACCAGCTGTTGAAACAAAAATGGAAGGGAATCCATCCTGAATGTCCGCAAAGGGCAAGGAGTCAATCGCCCTGGTTTGCCTCTTGAAGGAGCCACCTGCGATCTTCAGCATCCAATCATCCACCAGTGCCAATCGGCCGGCTGGCCACGGCAAGGCTGCACAGCCCGTGTGCATAAGAATGATGTGGGACTCAGGTTTACAATATGCAAACTCGACCGACAGGTTCAAGTGTTTAAGACACTGTTTCCAAACTTTTGCAAACCACCTCGCTCTTTGGCGGAAAGAGAATCCTCGGAGGCGAACATTGGGCATGGTTGCACCATTATACCATTGTGACAAATGTACAGGACCTGGGTGTCCCGTGCTGCACATGAAATCAATGTACAACTGAAAATGTGAAACCCAAACAAGTCCACCAGTGCAACCATAAAGGGTCTGCCAATACCAACTCAAAATGAGCCTAACCATTGCATCGCCATACCATCGAGTGGCACCAGACGGAATTCGCAAGGGAGGCAAAGGTCGCCATGTGCAAGAGGGCTGCGGCGAGTTCCAAACCTGTGGGGCGGTTTCACAGAGCTCAGGCTTATCGTTATACACAACCTCTCTACTGATGGCAAGTTGAACCCGCTGGACATGGCGGTTGACCCACCCAATGGTTTCCAGAGCTTGCACGTGTTCATCATGCAAAACCCAAAAGGAATCTGGCCTATTCATGTTGGCCCTGACCGCTTGTTTGTCCACAAGTGCATTGTGTCTATAGCACCACTCAGTAAGTACATCAGCAGCGGCATGTTCTGACTGGTGCGCCGCAACATGTGTGATACAAGTGGGCCCTGCACGAAGGACAAGGCAATCTGCAATTTCCTGCCACAAATCTGAGTGAGACGAATTTGGTTTAATGGTGGCTCCCTGCAATAGCTTCCGGACCCGCCGGACTACAAAACTGAAATCTGACCAAAGCCGCACGCATTGTTTATGGGTGACCGTAATGCGTAACGCACGAAGGATGGCGTATATCTCTGCTCTGACCGAACTTTGGAGCAACCCTGGCAAGACTCCGTAATCCAGAATTTGGCTACCAGCAAAGTCATGTACTGCGTCAATTGATGCAAGGACAACTGCCCATCCCGCAAAACGCGCGTCTGCACAGTGTTGATTATGACAACTACCATCTGTAAACACATCAAGGTCACCTGTGAACTGTCGGGCATGCGGTTCATGGCTCTTAAGGTGAGCAAAATAACTGTTCCAAGCCAAACGGGTAGTTGGGGCCAAGGACCAGCCTGAACAAGTCAAAGCTTCAGGCAAATCAACTACCATGTCAAGCACAACTGAAGGAATCTGATCACGGTGATGCTGAAAAAACTCACATTGCCAAAAACGGTGAAACCTACTATCGCTGCAAGGACAGAAAGGACAAATGTCACTTGAAACTTCCTGACAGTGGTGTTTCCCATCCTGCGTGATATGCGAGCCATTCAAAATTTTGCAAAACAACGCATGGTCAGATGAACCCAAGGTGGTAAGCCATTGCCTGGTATCACTCGGATCAGTGTGGCACAGACCCTTGAAGCATTGCCTGTGATCTACTGCAGCTTGGACGATCCAAGGCCATTGACATTCTACCCTAAATTGCAATTCAGCAGCAGAAATATGGAAAAGGGAGAAAGGGCCCATCATGTCATGCAGGAGTCCATCAAGCTGAACATGCCAACCCAGATATTGAATCCTCTGCAACAAAGTGTTGGTGATACAGTTGGTGGGGAGCGTGGAGGCGCCCTCAGTCAACGAAACTAACAGGCTTTCAACTCGGGGCTGAGCTCCACAATCACGTACTAACCTGAAAGTTTGTAGTATTGACCAACAACAGGGATCAACTGTCGGCACTTCGATCATACCAAGGTGTACCATTGAATTTGCCCCAGCTGCATCTGCCCTGATACCTTTCATCGCGCCCGCACGAAGGGCAGTAAAGGTGGCCCGACTTACAGTCGTGGCTGCGACGGCGTGCAGGCATCTCGGCCATGCAGCGCATTTAATCGCGCGGATTTTCTGCGCATAGGGGCTGGAAGAAACCTTAAGTTTGGACCAAAGTGGTCCTGCACTTTTAACCCTGTCCATGAGGTGGCTATTGGTATGCTGCTTGGTGAATTGAATGTGCGCTCCTAAACTCTTGCCAAAAGCAACCGTGCCAAATCCCTGTTGGCGCAGGATTTTGCGACCCTCAGTACTCATAGACCACACGTGGGTTTTCTTCTGGTCCAGCTGCAAGTCAAGGGCTTGCGTAAACTGCTCCAAACAGTGAAACACCTGAGGCATACAATGAGGGTCAGCAAAAAGAACCTGCCAGTCATCAACGTAGGATAAAGGTTGGCAAAGTGGGAAAAAGTGCAACATCCACTCATGGAAAATGATATCAATCACCATCATTCCAACGCACGACAGAGCACATCCCTCCGGGAGGCCACAGTTGCTATGTGCTGGTGGGCTCATGCTGCCGTTAATTTGGAATCTCCTTGTCATAGAGCTCAGTGCACTCGCCCAGCCGCGAAGAACTCTAAAAGGGGTGCCAAGAATGGCACAACACTCCAACACCACAAGCCTAGGCAGAAAGTTGAATGCTTTTTGTACGTCGGCCATGATGCCTGAAAGGTTTGCTTGTGTTTCATAAGCCAACTCAATGCTCCAAAGCAGGTGAGACCAGAGTTGACCTGAGTAGCAGTTGGGTCTGCTTCCATACAAACCTACAGGCAAAATGTCATCAAGCAGTCGGATGACTTGCCTGGCATGATACGTGCCCCAGCATCGATAGAGCAAACTAAACACCGTTATAGGGCGAAAGTCTAGTGCATCCTGCGGTGCGGGGGTCTTTGCCAGGCACGAAACCCTACCAGCCACAACCTGTGAGGGCCAAGTACCATCACACTCAGCATCGTGAAACATGGCAACAAAATTGTCAAGGGCTGCAGGGGGCAGCGCCTTCAAATCTGTTAAAGAGACACCATCCAGGCCTCCAGTAGTGCGGGCATGTTTGGATGCAATACTCTGGGTGAGCGCATTACGGTCAATGGCAGGCCAAGTGAAGGAATGATGCTGAAGCTTGTCACGTGCAAAAGAAAGAATATTGTTCCATCTGTCATACGGGACATCAGCATGGCGTTCCCACATGTTCTTCCATGCATCAAGAAACAAGTGAAACAATTCGTCGTCAGTACCTTTGCAGCGCAGTTGTGAAATAGTGGCCCCAGCAACGATTCCTTCGACACTTTCAACCCAAACTGCATCAGACTCAGCATGAATAATGGTCAGTGGAAGGCCATTACAGAATGCAGGTTTGTCCGCCGTGAACTGTGCAGAACTGGTTAAGACAATCTCATTGTTTTGTACATCCACTGTTTCGACCTGTGCCAAAACAGGTTTGATCAGAACATTGACATCTCGAGCACAACGGTCTTTGAGGTCCTGAAAAATAACATTTGGGTTGGATTCCCGCCTGAGCCTGGCATGGTGGCGGGATGCCTGTTGAAGCTCATTTTCAAAAGACCTGAAAGCCAT